GACAACCCATGATACCGAAGGTACAATGCGGTAAGTCTTTTGGGTAGGTAAGTTCCCTCACCCCAGCTCCAAACTCGCACGAGGAAAATCCTTTCAAAAAGCGAGTTCAAGTTGCAGTGCTAGAAGATTAATACTTTAACATTGCCTGACTATTTCTTGCAATTTTGTGAGCGCAGAATTTGTTAACAAGTCGTTACTAACTTCTTTTGGTTATTATTGACCATAATTCAAACTCCATTTTTGTTACTTGTCGTATATGATTGCCTTCGACGCGCGCATTGCTTGCATCCTCTGTCGTACCAGGCAAGCAAATTCCCACTGTCTCTTTGGGGTAGTCATACCACGAGCAGTCAAACGATGCATCTCCACGCGATTTCGCTAGGTGATAGGGAAACGTTCGAAAGGCTCACAAAGAACTAAAAAAACATTTTGTTTTCAACTCATAATCCATGTGATCTTCAGCTAAACTGCCTTCCAATTGAGAAAATCTGTAGAGCCTGAGAACTTTACTACTTTGGAGTATGAATCTAGTCTCTCAAACCTCGATTTTCGAAATGAGCGCCTTTCGACATACACGAAATTATAAATTAACAAATGCACTTCATGATTACCTGATTACGTTATCTTTTTCGTTTCTCCCCCTTTTGAGTAACAAATCAGCATTCTGGAAGAAATGTTATTATCAACAGTCTATCGCTGAGCTTCTACATCTCATGGAATTTCTGTGAAAGTTCTGCATAGAAACCATCAACAACCTTTTAAATCAGCAAATTCGCATAAATCGCATAGTTGTTAACAAAAGCACAAGAACGGGGACGAATTCTCAATACCCCGCAGATGTTGACATAGTCTTTAAAACGATCGCTTCGCCCACAAAAACAAAAACACTACTCGCCCCGCATTCGAACTTGTCCTGATTTTCTCATGATAACGTCTGTAGTGCTAGGAGCAGAATTACCTTCGAAACAGTAAAACAAATAACGGTTCCTTGATAGGCACCATTTGGCTAAACAGTAAAAATCTCAATCGATTGAGATGCATATGATTAGATCCAAGACACCTAAAAATCAGTGGTTAGACTGAGTTGACAATGAACGGCGCCAACAACAATGGGTGCAGACGTTGATTTGATCGTGAGATCAGATATCATACGTTCAGCGTAAGAGTAAAAAAAGAGCAGGCATGCTTTAGCAAGCCAAACATTCTAGTGTTTTCGGTAAAATAAAAAGCAGTGACTCATCGTGTACCTTTTTTTCTAGTCAAAATCAGCAGTTTTCACTATTAACAGGGGAATTTGACTAATCAAATCAGAAAGGTAACTCCGAATGGATCTTCCAACTCAGGTGGCCTAGGCTAAAGCTAGTTCCAAACACAGTCGCGAGCTAGATAGATCATTCAAAACCAAGCTCAACTTTTTGATTCTACCATTCCTCCATTTACCCCCTAACGAAACCACAAACTGAGCGACCGAAAGATTGCTTCGGTTGGGTTCATGCATCTGTGAATTCCGGATCACTTGAGGCACGGCACACAATTCGAGCGATGTGGAACTGCCGAAACATGCTGGTCAATATGAATCCAACCTTCTGGTACGAGGCACAGCTGTACAAGGGTTCGATGCAGCACAGTGCCTCCTTCATAAAGTTTCAAGATTCAACAGCCAAATAGAAAAAAGACTTCATTAAAACCATAAGAAAATAAAGCGAAAAGTAGCGAAAGTAAGTAACACCAGTATTAGTAACAACAGTCAATGCAAAAAAAGATACCGAGTATTGTTCAAACATACTCAAACCAAAAAATTGTCGAGTTCGTAAAGAAGATTGTTGATTTGTTGACAAGTGAAGGTGAAGGTTGTCTGAGTAAGAGTGTCACAGGTTGAGTGATTTGCGCAGTCGCCACCGACTCGCTCGAGCCCTGCACCACATTCGCAGACAACTTTACAAAAGCCCAGCGAGGTCGAGCGAGCCGGCTGCGGATGGCCAAAGTGCGAGCTGCCACATTTTTGAGATAGCATATATCAATTGACATCTTTGCCAGACGTTCTAGGCAACCACTCAGTTAGAGACTCCGCTTTTGTATCGTATTAGAAATCACAACACAAGGACTACTGTACTAATTGTTGGAGAAGTACAGTTGCTTCATTTCATATGATCATGTGTGCCATTGCACACACAGTCCACTTTGGCGTCCTCATCCTGGATTTGCAATCGCAAAAACGCAAAAGACTTACCGATTGTTATCGATTACATCAATTTGAGGTGACTAGTAACTAAAAAGGAAAGAAAATGCTAAGAACACCTTGGAAACACTTACCTGAAGGCTTGTTTCTCCCACGAATCCAGGATCGGGACGCCAAAGGTGAACTGTGTGTGCAATGACACACATGATCATATGAATTGAAGCGACTGTACAGTACAAAACCAAATGCCAGGTCGTTCAATTACATTGGCACATTGTATGATAGATTGGCATTGTTTTTCCTAAAGAATATTGCTGAACTCGACGAGCTCTTAAGCTACGAATCCGATAAAACTTAGCTAGATTACGACTGCATAAAGCCAGGCATTATTGCAGCCCTAGAGAAAGTGCGCGTATTTCCTTTTTTGAGAGTCTTGAAAGTGGACAAAAGTTCCTAGTATAAGCTTTATGTTTAGAAATTTTTTACAGAAATCTTGTGTTCTTATAGCGTAAGCTCAAGTTACTTGTAAGGCTCCCGCCAGAGTGCCGAAGTTATGCCAGCGCTACGCCAGCATTTCGATCGATACACGTGTATTTCGTTGGGGCGGGGCTAGCTGACGTCCCCAACGAAATACACGTGTATCGATCGAAATGCTGGCGTAGCGCTGGCATAACCTCGGCACTCTGGCGGGAGCCTAAGAACAAGTGACGCTCAAAGGTACCGTCCACCCTAGTTGAGAGTCTTGAGCTTTTGGCAGCTTATGATAGTGGACCCCCCCCCCCATCTAGCCAATGCCCAAGTCGCGGCGTAGATGTTGCTTCCGAAGCGAGAAAATCGCTCCGGGATAAAAGGCAAGAGGACCCCTAGACGGCACCGCCCTCCCCATCCATGCCTGTTCATCCAATCACCATTCCGGACAGCCACCTGTGGGTTCTCCGGAGTGGTGATTGTCAGGGTTTTCGTGGATTCTCGACTTCATATTAGAATCAGGGACATGATAAGGTCCAGAAACGACAAAAACTGGAATTTGAGTGAAAGGTGCCTTGAATCCCAAAAATATATAGAATACTTTTAAAAACCACAAAACGTTTCTCCGTCATTGACTCTACTGCCATCAAACTGAGTGGATTTGTAAAGCAGTCCCTTTATCACACTCTAGTTCAGCATCAAATCCTCGAGCAGTTTGCCTTTTCAACAACATATCAGATCTTAGGCTGCGTTCATACTGATTCCCATGTTCTGGAACTGTTCCCGCACAGTTCTCGCACTGTGCTGAAACTGTGCGGGAACTGTGCGGGAACAGTTCCAGAACTGTGCTGCATTCGCTGCAGCCGCCCGCACCGTTTTGAACGGCGGGAGTTGGAGAATTTTGACCGTTCTCAACGGTTTTTCTTCCAGATTTCGCTCATTTTGGCCTTAATCCTCCACCCCTCTTCCCTTTTTGATCAGCAGCACTGCGAACTCGAAGCGGGGTTGAAGAGCGCTTTTCTGCGCCGTGTATTCGGAAAGATGGGCTATCGTGCGATTGTTCATTCTGTCTTCTTGTTTTTTGCTCAAAACTACTTCATTTGTTCCAGGAAGCGGCTGCCCAGTTTCCATAGCCATCTGCCACAAATTAGGGAGTAGGAGAAATCCTGAAATTGCATGAGTTGGGACTTGTCTCTTGTTTTTCATGATTTTGGGCGTTCTTAGCCTTGTTCGTTTTTCCATGTCGCTGCTTCTCCGTTCTTTCTTCTACCCCGCTTCTCCTAGTGATGAGAAAAGCTGTGAATTTGAAGCGGGGTTGAGGATTGAACGCTGTTCTGCTCCATGTATCCGGGAATATGGGCCTTCGTGCGCTCGTCCATTCTCTCATCGCTATTTTTGTTCAGACCTACTTCATGTGTTCTAGAGACTTGTCTATTTCAATTTTAACACGATGCGAGACTATGCAGCGACTTGTTAATACACATGAATAGGTCTGAACAAAGCGATGAGAGAATGGACAAGCGCACGAAGGCCCATATTCCCGGATACATCGAGCAGAACAGCGTTCAATCCTCAACCCCGCTTCAAATTCACTGTTTTTCTCATCACTAGGAGAAGCGGGGTAGAAGAAAGAACGGAGAAGCAACGACATGGAAAAACGAACAAGGCTAAGAACGCCCAAAATCATGAAAAACAAGAGACAAGTCCCAACTTATGCAATTTCAGGATTTCTCCTACTCCCTAATTTGTGGCAGATGGCCATGGAAACTGGGCAGCCGCTTCCTGGAACAAATGAAGTAGTTTTGAGCAAAAAACAAGAAGACAGAATGAACAATCGCACGATAGCACATCTTTCCGAATACACGGCGCAGAAAAGCGCTCATTCTTCAACCCCGCTTCGAGTTCGCAGTGCTGCTGATCAAAAAGGGAAGCGGGGTGGAGGATTAAGGCCAAAATGAGCGAAATCTGGAAGGAAAACCGTTGAGAACGGTCAAAATTCTCCAACTCCCGCCATTTAAAACGGTGCGGGGCGGCTGCAGCGCATGCAGCACAGTTCTGGAACTGTTCCCGCACAGTTCCCGCACAGTTCCCGCACAGTTTCAGCACAGTGCGAGAACTGTGCGGGAACAGTTCCAGAACATGGGAATCAGTATGAACGCAGCCTTAGAAGGCATGGCAGGTTGTCTCTTGCGATTTCTCATATGAAGGATTTTGTAATTTTTCAAATCAAATGTTGTGTGTACCAAATAAAATCGACTGATTGGCTGCTGCATAGGAAAGCTATTTTATGTTTTTTCTTTCAGCAATCGAAGCATTCCATTGTTCCCCGATATTTTCTCAGCTGTTTTGTACACAATTATAAATACGAGCCAAGATCTATTATGTCTCATAATTTGAAAGCTACCATGCAAGCGTTGTTTCTTTTGCTTCTATTGAGTTCCGTCGGCCTAATCATGCCGAAACTTAAATGCTCAGACGGAGGAGCAAAACGTGAGTTTTCAGGGAAGTGATTTGAAAAAACTTTTATGAACCTCATAATGCAAATCTGTGTTAATCATTTCAAATGAGCTAGGATAAAGCATCCGCAAAAACTGCGTAAAGCACAAAATTCAGCATGCATTAACAACAAGGACTGCCCACCGCAAATGACCTGCATCGAAAACAAACCTGGTGGGCCGGTGTGCTGTAATGATGCTGCAGTAAGTTTTTTTTTTACAACGCATCTGTAGTCGGTAGAGTGACCTTCCGCCATCTCTGAAGATAACGAATTACTGTACCAAATGATGTTTTCTGCACTGATTAGTGGATATGAACTGAACTAAGGTTCTAAGGATTCAAAACTGCAATGGCTAAAATAAGAATTGAGAGCAAAAGCACAGAGTAGCACTGCATCTTGAAACAATTTTATTTTTATGATTGTGATGGACTAGTGTTCAGAATAAACAAGTGATAAAGTAAGAGATAAATAGAAAGTACTTTTTAATTAAAGGCAAACATGAATTAGCTTAGGCAAACGAAACAAAGGGCGTACTTGATGCCACCGCAAAGGACTCATATAAGATATTTCTTTTATCTTACAGTTGACTCACAAGGAGGGTTGCAAAGTGGAAGTGGACAATTATCATAAGATGCATACCGTTACCAAGATCTTCGAGCACTGATATCAAATCTATCTTCCATATGTGCAGACCGTTGGAAAGGATGTTATGGGCGTTTTTTTTTTCGATTAAAAATTGGGGATCGGGAATTGGGAACAAATTGGAAATTTTTGGGCTAGAATATGACATTTAAAAAGGGTCAGCATCACAATAAGATGGATAAACCGTTTTATGTAATTCGAGTTCAAAATGCTTGGTTTTGACAAATCCGGCTGCTTCAGCTTAGCCATTTTAAAAGAATGTGCATAACTTCCAAAGGTCTTATGTAGATATGGAAGGCAGATTTGGAACCAGCGCTCTAAGCTCTTCATGATGATTTGCTTTCGAAATGATGACCACCCGGGCTTTGCGATTCCTTCGCTAGGCCGAACATGATTTCTCGGGGATAAGCGCAGTCTTACATCATAAGATGTATGCGCGTTTGCTTCGCATTCTTTAATGTTTGAAATGTCGTGAATAAACAAGGCTCGAAAAAATCTGGCACATTTTAGTAGTGCGCTCAAAACTTCACGATATTTGCGGTTGCTCAAAAACTCTCAAAAAAGAGACTGATTTTTTTGAGTCAAGACTTAGACATAGTCTTTTTTAAAATTTTGTAGTCCTCACACGGAAAGCGGTTTTAGGTGAGTAACTATCAGCTTGGCAGCAAGTGTCCTTTACTTTTGCTAAATGTCGTTTATTATAATGCATCTGAAAGGGCGATCAATCTGTAGACAAAAGATCTCTGTTTTTTCCAAACATTGTTTGAAAACGAGTGCTCAGATAATTGCCGGGGGGCAGGCGGTCCGCAAACTCGCGCTTTTCTGCAGGCGGTCAGCAGAATTTTGGAGCGTGGCCGAACCTTCAGCGGGCGGCACTTCCTTTACGGTCGTATATTCTGCCAGAGGGCAGCAATACAGCACTTTTTGCAGGGCTCAGTAAATAATTTCTTTCAGCAAGCGCTCGGACCCTTTTTACGCAGTTTCTGCCGTACGCCGAGAAAAGGTGAGACTCTATCTGGCAGAGGTGCTATCGATGGTTTTATTACCCAAATTTAGAGTACCTTCTTTCAGCGGAAGGGTACCCTGGGATGTACAGTCCTTCACAAGGACCGTGCGGTCCACAACAATTTTGCATATTCTCGCGAAAAGTCCGAGAGAATGCGGCACTGAGCCGTGATTCCATGAAAAAGCCGCAATTCTTCTCCGAGTACTCTTCTAAAAATTGGCCAGAATTGTTCCAAATTTCTGCAAGCGGATCGCGAGAAATCAGCAAACTATTTTTCCGGTACCGCTTGCTCAAAATTCGCATGGCCACCTGCCCCCAGCGATTATCTAAGTGGATGCACAGCATCAATCTCTAAGTTCTAAAATATAACAGAAACACAACTTCAAAATTCCTCAGAAGCAGAGCTAGGTACAGGTGGCTTACGGGGCAAGCTGGCTATCGTTTTGGAATAAAAAGCAAGGGGATCGTATCGTTGAAACAGAAACCCCAGCCCCCCCCCCACCCAAGACACAATCGCCTTCTGCCTTTTTGTCACCCATCCTCTACAGAAGACGCAAACTGTTATTTTGCGTTATCATTCTGCGAAAACCAAAAATTTTCTGTTTCAGCATGTTTGCCGGTGAAGCGCGCGAATTCAAACCTGCCTCGAAATAAACAAAAGACTTGTTTACAGCGAAGAGAAATTGAAATGACACCAAAATTGGTGTGTAGATGGGCAATAGGGAGCTAGGACCATGCGCAAAGATTATGAAAAAAAATTATGTGAACTGAAGGCGTGGCAAACTTTTTTCGGAGTTAAGTGGCTTTCCAGCCACCCTATACACCTGAGGTGGCTGTGAAAAAATGAAGTCATATATTTTCCTCCCTTCACATAATTATTTCACATTTCCAACACAACCTTGTTCTACATCAAAAACCCTACGACTGAGATTTTGAATCTCTCTAAACCCCCTTTTCCTCGCCTAGTTACAGCCCTCCAAACATTTTGTATGGCGGCGGCAAGCCTGCTCCAAGCGCGCAGTGGTGCGCGCCGACAGCATGCCGCCATTTCGGAGAGTGAACATTTTTACTTCTTTGTCTGTTCAACGTTGCTTTTATGTTTTGTTCAGCTAATTTTCTTTATTCGTACTCAATCCATTCATGACCACGTCATAGGTGACGCCGTAATCTTGTGCCGAAGTCTGTAGGGACTCCGTTTTTGAAAAATTGAAAAAGCCACCTCATGCCGAGTCCTGGTTAGAAGAGAAATGGTAATACTTACCAAATACATAAGGCAATGACCACAAGTTTGAGTCTTAGATTACTTTTCTTGGATTACTAACGTAAAATTTTGTAGATCGTTCCAATGAAGAACGCTAAAGGTACGGTTTTTCAACAAATGCTACGCTATGCCGATGGTACCAACTTTTCATTACTTCAGGAACAGGGTTGAGCAAGAGGTCAGGCACAAGTCTTTCCAAAACGACCCCCCCCCCAGTGAAAGCCCCTAAACGACCCCTCTGCTTCACCTCCAGGACCTCATGCTGTGATAATTCGAAGAGATCAGCCGTTTTTGGGAGGTTCTTGTTTTTTGGAGGTCTGTAGGTCGACTTTCTGCGATTGCACAGCACACGCAACTTGACGGCAAGTTTTGGATTTTGGATAGCCCTACTTTTAGAGCTATAATTCCCACAGGGGTGTATTGTTTGGCTCCAAATTTGCAGTATTGCAAGAAGAGGCTTTGAGTTCAATACTCATAGCAGAAATGGAGCGATTTTTGGATTTTGAAAACAAGTTAATCGGGTCAGGCGCAACCCCTCAAAAGCTCAGGCGGCCTGACCTTTTATGGGGTTGCGCCTGACCCGATTAACTTTATCATTGAAGAAGCTTTTTTATTCAAGTTTTATGTGAATCGCTAGCACAACCCTCGAAGATTCCACAGTAAGTGTTTGGACTTGATTCGACTTGTTTCGGCCTTGTGGTAGTCCGTGGAGTTGAAGCAGTCATGGAGAAAAACGCGCCGGTCGGAATCTTGGCATTATTTCTTACTCCACTTGCAAGCGATACAAAGCGCGATTTTTAGCCTAGACTAGTAGGGAACAATACTTTGTTACGAGTACAAAAAAATTGACTTTTCTCACTTTTGAAAACAAGTTAATCATGTCTGAAAATCACGCTTTTTAGTCGTTGAGAAACACTAGATAATGCAGTAAATAATGGTTTGTAGGGCTCATAGAGGTAATTTGACGTGCTCGGAAATGATACCCATATCACACAGCAAGCTTCCTTGATGAATTTAGAGTATGTCAAGGGTAGAAGATGAAGATTTGAGTTTGCCGAAACTTAGATTGTGGAATCAATCAGTATGCTGTTTAAGACCGTTCATTCCTTCAGTACTGGTGAGGTCGCGATATCCACTGAACTAGCGCTTTTCTTCTTCACCTTAATCGTAGTATCTCCTCAATCGAACGAATTCGATTCCTAATCACGACCCCCCCCTCTGTCTTACCCCAGTACGACCCCCCAGGTCGGGCGCGCCTGACCCCACGCTCAACCCTGCTTCAGGAAACTGATGAGTGCAGAACAGCATGCAGCAACATGAAATCACTTGGCTCCTGATAACAAAAAGATACAAATGATTTTTTCGCAAAGCAAGGTGTTGAACAAAACTATACTCAATAAACAAAAGCATTCCGAACAACAACATCACCATTTGAAAAGAATTGTTGCTGAAGAACGTAGGGTAGCAGCCAGTCTAATCACACTTTGTATGATCAAGAAGGAACTTCTGCTTGACAGTTGCAATGTGATTGAGACGTTCAAATGTCATTCATGGCACTTTCATATTTGCATTCATGGGTCCATCCGTTCCAGACAACACGTAATCTGCATTCAAAAACGACCAATTTCAGTTGAAAGCTAAAAAGTCAACGGAAGTCTTATAAGTGTCAAACGGATTTGCTTTTTTGAAGTTTAAATTAGAGGGGTATTTCATGATACTGGCGCGCCTGCAAATCACGAAAAAGTTGAGGGTACATAAAAGCGCCTGACGTAGTGTATAAGTAGATAGTGTCACTGGTGTATAGAAAAATCTTGAGACTGATAGTTTGAACAGCCACTATTTGTAAAAAAAAACACTAATCATCCTCTGCAAAATTTTTGAGATATTTCAACAATTGGCTTCACTGCTTAGAAATCATTTTGAAAAAGAGAAACACAAGGTTTGCATGCACAGACTATTAAAAAACATAAGCGATATTTGATATGCAAGATTTAAATAAAACAAAAGTCCTCTGTTGGTGTACTCCATCAAAAAGCTTTTCGCAGAAGCTACTTGGAAGCCATGAGGTTTTTGAATTTCAACAAGAGGTTTCCGCTTGCTTACACAAAGAAAAAATATGTAGACTCAAAACTAAACCGTGTAGCATTAGAGTCGAAGCTTTTCTGGATTCTGTACCGATGGAAAGGATGAGGGAGCAATTAAAAGATGAGCATAAAAACACAAGAAACATATGAGGTCTGTTTAGGCGATTTCTGAATGAATAGCTTGCTAGGACGCAAAAGTCTTGTCCACAGAAAACATTAAACATGAATTACAGGGGTGAGATATTGTAGTACCTTGAGAGCTTAGCAATTCGTCTCAGTTCTATGAAACAATTTTGTCCCAATTCTTTGCTGTTCCCTCCCACATTTGCGTTTGTCAACAGGCTCATATCCCCTTGGCCAACTTCCAGCGTTTCTTCTGAAACAGGTAACATCGACAAAAACAGTAAATTTTAGGCTGTTATATTATATTATACAGGGTGTCCCAAAAAAATGTTAACACTGTTTGATCGTTAATAACTCCCTTGCTTTCAAGTCTTTCGCCGAGCTTTGGGTACCATTTTCTAGAGCGAGGATAAACTTAGATTTACAGTATCGAGCGAATCATCTAGCTCTCCTTGTTACTGTAGAATTACGGTAGGAAATTTGACAAGGATTTTAGGCCGCCCATTTTCTGCTTCGAAACAGAGCCAAACAAGCTAAAATCTCGTTTACTGTGGTAGTGAAGGCCGCTGATTTTGGATGTGAAATTTTCGCTTCATTATGATACTTCTTTTCAAAGTTATACCAGGTAAAGTGTAATAACTGACTTCCCAGCATGTGTCAAAAATGTGATTACACCTCAAAAAAGCTGAAAACACTCGTAAACAGTTGTGTAGTAAAATCAGCGTGCGCGAAAACCCTAGTACACGATTTTTCAGAATTTTTGAATAAAATCTTGTCAGAGGGCTTATTTCACGACGGTTCCACATGCTGGAATTTCCGACAGTAATTCTACAGTAACGAGGAGTGTTGGATGATTCGCTCGATACTGTAAATCTAAGTTTATCCTCGCTCTACAAAATGGTACCTAAAGCTCGGCGAAAGACTTGAAAGCAAGGGAGTTATTAACGATCAAACAGTGTTAACATTTTTTTGGGACACCCTGTATTACATTCATAATCACTGTGCTTCTTGCTCATTTGTACCATCTTTCAGCACCAGAGCTCAAAGTTTGCAGGAAAAATGTTGGAGTTAATAAATAACAAGGCATAAGGTAATCTGAAGACGGTTGTTGCCTGTGATGAGCGTGCCGCTTACTTTTTCCTTCCGGTAAATATTTGAAACACGACTAATCCACTATGGCGCTGTAAGCTGAGATTCCTACCACAATCCTACAGTTAAAAATCGTTCGTTGATCCTCTCTATACTATGAACTTAAGTTGAAGCTAGCTCTACAAAATGGTACCTGAAGGTAAGTAGAAGACTTTTGGGAAAAAAGATATTAACGATCAAACAATGTATACATACTTTTGGGACACCCTGTATATGTCAGTAGTTTTGAATTGGTGAGACATTATGTGACCTTATCCTCCTGCATAAGTGATGCAATTATATCAACTGATAGCTGATCTGGAGGCAGTTACAAAATTATGCTTACAGTGTTGACTAACAAGAATTAGCTTGATTATTTAGGGATTCAATTTACTGGTATACCCTGCGTTTGCAATGTCTATAGAAATGAAAATTGTCTAAATGATCTACTGTCACGATAATGGCGTTATTCTCGGCCAGTCTGTAGAATGTGTTTACTTTTATACTGGATTATTGTAAGCTCGCACGTAATCTTTTAAAGGAAACAATCAATTAATAAATCACTCAATAGTCCAATGCACTTGCTATGTTCTCTGCGGAGACTGTGAAACAAAATATGGCTCAAATTAAGGAGATGTTAGCTGATTAATCGAATTTCAAAGTATTTGTTTTTTAAAGTTGTCCAAAAATTCATGGTTTTTAAATCTGTAGTATTAGGTTGTAACAGAATTAATGCAGGTTTGAATTCCAACCGCAATAAGTCATACACTTCTCATTTCTATACTCGCCGTCAATCCCTAAGTTACATTTGCAATGTGGAGTGGTGTGGTGCGGCCGCATCGCCTTGGGCTTGCGCCACGTTGCGAGCGTATCGCTTAAAGTGATGTGGCCGAAAGCGATGCGGCCGCACCACACCACTCCACATTGCAAATGTAACTTAGGGATTGACGGCGAGGGTAAGTAGGCTACCAAACACCATTCGATAGAGCAAAGCAAGCTCTACAAGATGGCTATCTTGCTTTAGCAACAGCTCTGACCAATCACGAGTTTCTAGCCAAAAACTAAAAAGATTCAACTGCCTGAAAAATTGAGAAAAATCGTAACTCCATTCATAAAAATCCTACAAAAATTCTAACTTGCTCACGTAAATACTATCCACATAAGACATCTATGTACGCCGTGTATTTCTTCCTCTGTTAGAAATCAAGAAAACGGAAGTTTTATTGCTTATGCCAAAGTGATGCTGTGTTGTCCCAACATAAGTAGATGTGTATTTTAAATTTGTAGAAGTACAAACGTGAATTTCTAGCTCTCTATAAGCTTTAGTTTTCGAGAAATATCGAAAACAGTTTTCCTTAGTCATGTGGTCCAAGCTAAAATTCAATTTTCTCGAGAACTAAAGCTTGTAGAAAGCTGGAAATTTATGTTTGCACTTGTACAGGCTTGTAGAATACAATTACTTATGTGGGAACGGCACAGCATTATTTTGGCAAATGAGCGAAAATTTCCGTTCTCTTGATTTCTAACAGAGAATAAAATACGGCAACGGCTTATATAGATGCCTTATGTGGATTGTATTTACGTGAGCAAGTTAGAATTTTTGTAGGATTTTTATGAACAGAGTTACGATTTTTCTCAATTTTTCGGGTAGTTGAATCTTTTTAGTTTTTGGCTCGAAACTTCTGGTGGATCAAATTTTGCAACCTACTTAGAAATGAGAAGTGTATGACTTACTGCGGTTGGAAATCAAAACCTGCATTAATTTCCGGACAACCTAATAAAAAAATTTGAGAATTTGTTCAGCAGTGTCTCTACACAACTTCACGAATTTTTTGGGCCTTTTTGATGAGTACACACATTTTGAGAAAGATTGAAAAAATTTATTACGCTGAACAAGCTAACGATCAAATATTGTCTATGTACTTTTGGGACATCCTGTATACCAATCTACAACTCTAAATGGGGAGTTATATGTTTGAATGGTCTCGTGCGGTAAGCTAAACAATATCACTTTGACGATCATGCAGATTTTTAGTTGTCCGCCTTATGGGACCGAGGCCTTTTACGGACCAGCCCACAATCAACTATAATTACGCATAGTGCCATCTACAGTACACCTACAATAGATCTGAAAGGCTGATAAAAAAGGTAGAGGCCATCCTTATATTTAGCGCAAAAGAAAGCTCGTGGAGTGACTTCATCCTAAGATAGTGGTGATTTTAACAATCAAGCCTTGACACACATGGTGTGTCAACCGGTCCCACGCGGTAGTCATTGCTTGACACACCATGTGTGTTAAGCGGTCGTCAATGTGATATGCAAGAAGGTCTTTCTACCTAGCAGAAGTTGCTCAATCTCATTAGTCAAATACGCCACCATTCAAAACAAAAATTTTGAATTTCTAAAAATTCCCTTCAACCTTCATAGGAGCACGCCTTGGGTTTTCAGGTCTCTTGATGTCACCAGCAGACCGTTTTCCCATCACAAATTGTAACATAAAAAATTAGGGTTAGATGTTTTGGTCTCCCATAGGCACGTAGGGTCGCAGCGACTTTGCGTCTTCTCAGCCTTTGCTTTCAAAGCAAAGTGGTGAAAATCTCGCAATTATACCTACCCCAGAGCGTGTGAGTTGCTTATTCAAGGTATTGTACTATTAATTTACTGGGACTGCCATTCTCGTTGCGCCCAGATGGAAGGCCATAGACACAATACCCTATACCTCACAAGGGAAAGCTCGAACCTCTTTGGTTCTGGACAGAGTAAACCCACACCAGTACCAATTAATCCTGGCTAGTTTTCAGCGGATTTATCAACACACTAACAAGGGAAGGAAGGTTGGTCAAAGTGGCTTTTTAAAATGAGGTGTATATTGCCTTGTAGAGCTTGGAACGCTGATTCCAAATCTTCCTTCGCTATCTGCTGCGGCCTTCTGGGCGACGAGTTATGAAGGTTTTTGTGAGTAAAAATCTAAAGCAAAAATAGGGTAAAATCAATCGTAACCTTTTCCCAATATTCAGATAAGGCAGCAGCGAAGTGGTATACTTGAATCAAGATTATTTGTTGCACCGAGTGACCCCGACTACCAATTAAGCCCTATAAGAAATGTTACGACTGCTTTTAGCCTACTCTTGCATTCAGATTTTTGATCACAAAAACCTTCATAACTCGTCGCCCGGAAGCCCGCAGCTGATAGCAAAAGTAGATTTGGAATCAGCGTTCCAAGCTCTACAAGACAGTATACATCCCATTTCAAAAGACCACTTCGACCAATCTTCCTTTCCTTGTGATTCGTTGTGGTTTATCACACAGGTACATGAATTTCTAAAGAAATGAAGCTGGTCGTATAGCTTCTGTCTTAAAGGCAGTGTCCCAACTCGATCTCTAGAGCCTCCTAGGTTAACCACGCTGAATCCGAACCTCCACGTTAGAAAACGCGAAAACGCGAACAGGCGTTCTCCGAAGCCTTACAACTTGAAATAGGACGGTTCCCTCCAAAGCTGAGACGTAGAGTCGCTGCAGGACCCTACGACTCTGACTCGGAATAGGAATTCAAACAGGTAGAGCTTCAGGCTCCGTAAGCTATAGTACATCTTGCGTGGCATGTCTTATCATACAGTTAGAACACCGTTCATTCATTTCTACCAAACTTCCAGCAGTGGTTAGGCTTCTACAGCTGCTATCGTCTAGCATATGACTAGTTTTGCTTCTATTAGTTTTTCAGGTAATATTCGTCAATCACTGTGTTCAAATGGCTCGTGGAAGAAGGGTAGGTTCTGTACATACAAAGGTTTTGTTATCTGGGAGCACCTCCTCTACAGCATTAGCAGCATTACCAATATTTAAATAATATTATGGTGTTGGTAAGAACGATGACAGGAAAATTTCTGAAATAGCTGACACACTGCTACGTTTGATTTACTGGCATCACTAAGTACCAGAACTATGTAGTTGGGAATGAATACAGTCTGCCCCAATTGGGATCAGGCCGAACCGTCGGTTGAATTTGCGCGCTCGCAGCGCTAGGGGATTGCGCTGCATACGCGCGCTGTCGCAGAGAGTGAAGAGATCGAGGAGAGAGCAGACTAGCTAGCCGCAAATGTGGCGCGAAACACTCGCGGCGCGGACTCCCGCCATGCCCGACGAATAGAGAAATCACATTTAATCCCGTTGTTCAGCTCGATAAGCAGCGTAAACTTAAAATATAGGATCAAATGCCATGAGTCTCTTTTTCAAGGTTTCGGCCCTACATTTCTGCAGTTACCGGTTTACCGGTGTTACCGCCGTTAATATGCTTTGGCACTATCCTTGCCAAACCGTTATCAGCAATGTACCATTACCATTCCCAACATTATTTGCAGTGCTCGCTTAGAGTTCTTTTCCTTCATTACGATCCCACCTACTGATGGTTACGTTTCTTTTGTGTCAGGAAGGTGATGAGTTGGTTAACGTCACCTATTGAAGGGATTGCAAACGAAAAGATAAGATTGCTAGACCATCTATTTGGTCAAAGCGGAACACCGCAACAATAGTAGCGATCACAGTGAATGGTAACAACAATGCTGGTAAGACTGGTAACAGGGGTAACACCTACTATTGTTACCGGTTTTGGCTTTGAAGAAGGCATTGCACCTCATTATTATGGTTACCACCCGCAATTTCGTGGTGGTGACCATGCTTGCCTTTTGCTATCTTTTCGATGAGAAAGATGTTGACACCAGTTGCTGGGAACGTCTATGGAAAAATGAAGCTCACTTTTGACTAAAGCGGGACACCGGTAACAGTACAGGAACGGTTGCAACCAACTTTGGCAAAAATGGTACTGCTAATGCTGACATCGGTATTTACCACCGGTACCGCCGGTAACAGCGCTTATGTACTACAGTCAACTAACTCTAAAGTACTTCATGACAGGGTTGCGGTCGTCGCGAGTACAACGATAGCTTCGGCGAAAATACACACGAAATGAACGACAACTACTTCTATAGGGTAGGTTAATATGGAAAGAGCTACCATCTTATCTGTTTCATGTTTTTTCAGGAAGAACGTCCGAATCACCGTGGCAGAGGTCGTTACGATAACCGTGGTGGGGCACGTGGAAATAGCTTCAGAGAGCGGAATGACAGTAATTGGCATGCGAGGGACAGCTGGCATGGAGGGCGTCGAAGCGGTTATGCTGGTTTCTCGACCGGTTCGTTCGGAGTCATGGGCGATGCGGACAGCGTGAATAGGGTATGCCATGGTATACAAATCTCTGTCAAGCTAACTATTCGTTTCTTGAAGTACTTGTTACTTTTGCAATGAGATCGGCAGATTGTGAGAAGCTTCTAAATTACCTGCTGGAACTTTGAAGTTCTTGATAATTTTGTAGATGTACCTAACCTTTACACGGAGCTATTCGGCAGACTGATGCTCATGTCGCATGATGAGAGTCTTTTGCGAGATTACGGTAGTTATGGTAAGCGCTCAAGATCTCAATGCGCTTATAGAGCGGTTATAGGCCATGAAAATAAAGAAAAATATCAAATTCGCGCCCGTTTTATGGTCGTTTTCGAGACCGCTAAGGCCACTATCGAGATATTTTGTGGAATAGGTGTTATAGGTGCTACATGGTGGGTCACATAATCAGGTATGTAGTTCTGGCATCCACCATCTGCAGCTGTAGCGAGCGCACATTTTGCTTTTGGAAGGAGTCATGATATGATTACCACTGAAAAAGCATTTTTTTAGTGGATTTTCTAGAATATGATTACTCGCAGAATCTTTCTAATACTTTTCTAAACTTCCAAGTTTTCCAGCAGGTGTTCCGCCCCCTCCCTCTCTTATGAGTTTACCTCATCGGATGGAGGTGACATCGTTGTCGGCCCATGGCTGGCGTTGGAGTAAACCAATAGTGGCCACATAAGTCAGCAAAAACTTTGAAATTCTGCAATTTTTCGATGCGCTTGAGAAAGGCAATGCGGAATTCACGATATTCTGTTGTTCTATTTTACGCTATGGAAGGGAAGTTTTAGTCATTCAGTTCAAGTTGGTTCTTGTTAACAATTTGCAATCACAGAAATTATAATATGAATTCGTCTATGGTATGGGTATCAATTTATGTTCAAAAATGTTTGCAGGTTATAATGTTGTTGGCGTGCATTGTTAAAGCGTTGCAACCTCAACCTTTATTTTGGAAAACTTAATGCAAGGAATTATCCTTAGGTCTGGCGTGGAAGTGGGATGCAGGATGACTTTTTTGACCGTAATTACGTTAGACTCTACTTACTCCGAAACTGAAGCTAGATCTCTGCATTACTTGAGTCTCCACTTATCTCTCATATCGTTTTTTGATTATTTCTATGCGAAACTTGTTCGGTTTTTGTAAATCGCTTTTGATTTACTTCCCCATTACCTGAATTACTTCCAAAGCTCATCGGGAAATTTATTGTCAGACTAGTTCCGTAATTCTCGGCCTGTAACGGTGACACGGTTAACTAGTGGAATGTGCGTCCTTGAGCTGCAATGTTATCTCAGTTCGCACACACCTAGAGATTTTTGATTTATTACTCATGACACTTGCATGTTGGGATGTACTTGAGTGATCAAAAAGTAAATATGATCATTGTTGGTGTGAGTGAATATGTAGAATCTGTTTTCTTTTGAGCGAAGGTTCATCCACAGTTCATCCGAGAAACGGTAAACCTGCAATACGCCAATGCTTGGCTAGTAATATTTATTTCTCTATTTTCTAATATTTTTTGTAATATTTTGAATCTGGAAGTTTATCCAGTATTCCTGTTTTGGATAGATAGTGCTAGATAATGACTGGTAAGGATATTAAAAAACATCCATTTGAGAGAGTCGTTTTGGAAGCCCCCATTGTAGCGTTTGCGTTTCCAAAAGAGATGTGCATCACTTCATCACATGCAATTCTATATGTATTCTCATTTCCGGTTTTTCGACCGTTATTTATGAGCGATTTTTCTACTGAGATTTCATCAACGCTGGCTAACGAGGAAGTCTTCGTTTTCGTCCATCCTGCACTGTATTAATCCTTGCACGCAACTTATTTCTGTTGTGACATTTCATTCTGGTCAGCCAGTCAGTTAGTTATGATCAAGTCACATGATTTATCAATGCTATTGGTTCTTCCTACAATGTTAATTTCGCGGTAGGCAGTGAATTCGAATTCCGAAAAGATACGATATTTCTCCAAAATGCTTTGAACGATACCTCCATAAAGGACTTTCTCCTAGAAAGGGCTTTCAATTAGGACAGACTGCATAGGACAAATGCCGTATTTTAGTCTCAATTGCTTCTCCATTTTGCAAACCTAGCATTTTGATCGCCCGCCCTTGGACTTGAAGGAGGGGGGGGGGGGGGGGCACGGGATCAATATTGCCATTGTGATCAGAAGCTACTGTCGAAATTCTCTTTTGAACTGAGATCGTAGCTAATGTCTTTTAGAGTGCTACGGAATCACCTGAGATCCGAATCAACGACGTCCCTCTAGCTAGTGTCGAGGATCTTGCTTATAACAGCGGCGATCAACAGGTGTGTTTTCGTTTGCAGTTGCCGATACATGGATCGCAGTATAATCTTCCCCCTGATTATGCTTTTTTATTCATACTGATCCCTTGAACAGCATAACTAGGCTGTCGCTTTCTCAGATTAGTGGGAGTTTGGCTGTCTGCAACACTCCTAATGTGTCGGGTCCCGATCCTCCAGTTATGGAAAGCTCGAGTACAGGCATTGGCACTGTAAATTTGTGTGTGCGTATACGTGTAGAACCTCACTTTCGTTGTATTTTCTTTCAAGTCCGTCATCAAGCTCTTTTGTAGACTGTTTCTGATACTGGCATTGAAAACACGAACGATATTCATACAGCGAAGGAATGCGTTCAGGATGAGCAGACGGATGGAGGCTGTGTAAGCAGTGTAGGCTGAATGCCGTAAAGATAGGATTTTCCTGAATTGTTTTTGAGTTTCAGGAAGGACAAAAGTTGTCCGCAGAGAAAAGAACTGGTGGCGACATGATTGAGCATGGCCTAGTGGTTGGCCATCGCATTCGCTCGATGTCGTACCATGCCATGGTTCGCATTTTTTACCTTAAGCAAAGCTCAGTTTTTGCGTACAATCTCTTATATGATGTATTCGTTTCAGGACAACAAGGATATTCCCAAGTTTGCTCAAAGATCCTACCGCTCAAGTGTCATTATAGACGGCAAACTTGGGCAGACCTTGACTTCACATCGAGCGAACACTTGTAGAAGCATGGTAGATACTTAGCAATGTTCATGAGATTTTCTAAATGATAATCTGACAAGAGATTTGCGAAGTTTATATCTCTTCGCTATCAGGGTTTGCTCTTGCAGTTATGTCTTGTTTAGCATCTGGCGACCAGCCACATGGGTGAAGATGCGGCTAATTTCGGCATTACCGTGCAAAAATTTACCCTCCCGCCTGCGTCTTCTGATGTTACCACCGCTATAGAGAAGTCTAGCCATGACGGGGTGACATCAAGACAGTTCGAGTTTGTGTCAACTAATCTAATTCGCGCTTTTACAGCGACGCAGCACTGCATCCGAAAGTGAAGCTGATATGGCGCAGTTTGGGGAGGAAAACGATTCCGCGAGACGTTTCCGATCAGTGTCTCAGGTCTTTGTCTCTGCTACATGTTGTTGTTTTCATTTTATTCTGTTGCAGTGTGTCTTGGGTAAAGCAAAGGATTCTGGAGATACTATGCATGGTACGTATACTTCACAATGGTGAATATGTGACAGGTTGATTGTTTAGAGGGAGCGGTGGGATCGCAATGTTCGGTATCTAGAACTTTTGAAGGGGAGAATGATGGGCTTGTGCGCGATGAAGAGGTATTCTAACCAATCAGTTTGCACAGTTCAAACTCCCAGCTCTCTCTTTTAGGCACAAATCAGATCTGTGCGGAACGATGCTCATTACAATAACCACCGATTGAGTAAGGTACGATATTAACTTTTAATGTGCAAACTCTTCCAAGGAGCTTCTTAGTTTTGTTAGGTGTATGATAGATTGTAGCTTAGCTGTTTTCTGTGTAGGCGAAGAAAAGTCTGCGGTCTTCGTGACGCACTTCTGAAGTTGTAGAGGAGACTGATGGCGGACAGTTATCACTGCTTAATCAGCCAGACGTCGACAGCGTCCGCATTGGCGCCGCGTCTCTGCGTGCGATGCGTCGCCTATATTTTATTTCGGTTAATCCTCGAACATGTGTGAAAGAGGCATGAAAGACGTGTCAGCAGCAGTCAAGATGTGACAACACATCTTGCTGCTGCTGACATGCTATAAATCGCTATAAGATCACCTAGCTGTCTTTCTTGCCTTCAAAAGACTTTGCGTACGTCTTGAGATGCGATAGGAATTTTGCAAATCTAGGTTGCGAAAAGTGTCTTTTTTGTTAGCGTAACACAACCTGTTACCGTTCCCAACCGCATGGAAATGTTGCATATCACATACACTCCCACACTCAATCAATGATTTTTCTCACTGATCGAGAGTCAAGCGTGCGCTGTTTAGGGTCCTGTACGAGTTTTACCGTAAGTCTTCGAATTACTGATGATTTTGAGACGTTGTTGATGCCTAAGCATGATGTACATTTGCGTTTCCTGCGTTGCGTTATTTGAACTAAACTTCAAGCGTGTCGGCGAACTGTCATTGACCCCTGTGAATCAGTGGATTAGGACTTCGCGGCGCGTAAAAAATATGCTTCCTTAGCACTTGCTATAATTCTCTGATGTATAAACCACTATCCGAAGAAAAGAGATGATAATGTTATTTTGTGGATACACACCATGTTCTGATCACTTAAAGGCAAAGAGCAGTTTAGAATAACTTAAGCTTGTGCTTCAGCTCTCCATCCACACAAATAACGACGAGTTCTTCTATGTAGGCGGTCACCCACCTTCCGATGGACGTACGAGCCTTCGATCTCGCGGCAGCATGAGCAGACAGGTGACAAGCGCTTGTATATTTTTGTTTCATTCTGTAAAAGGCACAGTTCGTGATTATCCTGTTGGGTGACTTGTTGAGAAGGGCAAACGGGCTAAGCTCCGAAAATTTTCTTGATTTCTGCTCCACTATCTTAATATGTCATAGTAGATGTTAATCGAAATTTTTGATTTTGTGTTAGTCTTTGCATTGAGTCGGAGTACATTTTCCTTGAGCGCGAAATTCATGCTGCTTACGATTCGTTCGTGACGGAAAAACTCTAGTGTAAGCGTCAGTTCAGTGCATGGCGTATCCAGGATTTCCGTCCGGGGAGAAGAGCGTCTCAAATATATCTTCAGAGTAAAGGTAACGCTACCCCACTCCAAAAATTTTTTGAATGTTTCCCAAAAATTTTGCGGGCCCATAACGCAGCTACCTTCCAAAAAAAAATTTTTTTTCGCAAGGGTGATTCGAATTTTTTACAAATTTTTGGAAAATTCATTTTTATTGTTCACAAGTACGAATAAGTCACGTGCACATTTTTTCAACTCATGTAACTAACTTCCAGAAATTTCACCACCCATTCTCGAGGGAGGGGGACTCCGGTACACCACTGACTCAGGGCATACTTTCTGTCGAACTCGCGGGCGCTGATTGGTCCGTTCAAAAGTCTGGGCTGACGTTGAGAGTTTCTAATTCCCCGGTACGAGACCGTTCGAGTTCTGCTTAAACAGGGGGAGCTAACATCGAGAAGTATCCTGCCATGAATTTTTTGTTATAACTGGCTTTTGAGATCTCTATCTTCCATAAATGGAAGCGATCCTTTACTATATGGGCAGCTGCTATGAGAAACACACTTGTCAATCTGTCCTGGTCATCAAATTCAATATCAAATTTCAGAGTATGCGGTCAACAGACTTTTTGGCTGGCGGTAATGAATGGACTGAAAGTGTGCCGAGGTCTGCCAGCAGACAGGTATTCTCTCATCATTTAGTGCAGGTTGCATTCTTGTAAAAGTGAATCTAGATAATTTTAGTCGATAAAATCTGTAAATGATGATGTATGTGACAATGAGTTACGAGAAGAGGACGATAACTATGAGGATGCTGCAGAGGTTCTTTTTTCTCGCTAATTTTGAACGAGCTGGATGTAATTCTTCATTTAGGGCGACCAGTGCTTAGAGCAGCAGACGATCACTTCACTTCACAACATACGCAGTTGCACTGGGTCGACGACGGTCTGTTTATCTTTTTTTGCAGTTCTGTAGAGGGCATGTTATAGCATCCGCGCTTTATTTGAAGGTTTTTGTATATGCATGCAAGCTCTATTTCAATTTTAATGTGCAGACGATTTTTCAGCAATGGCAATGCCAGCGTTAATGAAAGTTCAAGCAGATTCATTTTTCCTATATGTTGTGTACACAACTCATTCTTCAAACCTCTTGGCATGACGAGATAAACTTCTATGCTGTGTTTGAAAGAGCTATACTGCTTGTAACATGGTTGAAAGCCTTCCATCAGAAATTCTGACGCTGATTTATTCAGCAAATTGAAATTCATATTTGTGCGCAACCATCTTGAAGGGAATAAAACGCTAATTCCAAATCCATCTTACCTTTTGATTCAACGGGATTGGTAGCTGGAAGGCGCGCTCGTACCCGCGACGCAGTCTGCGTCTCTTTCGCGAGTTTGCTCTTTGATCATTGACGCGAGGTAAGCGCTATAAGAAATTGAAATCTGCAACCAGGATAAACTTCCGTAATATTTTTCCTAGAGCTCGAAAGAAGTGGTGACGATTGTCAGAGCGCCTTATACAAATTATGGTCCGCTGCCTCATTTGAGCGATAGTAAAATCTTAGGAACTAATTCTATACTAGACGAGCTTAAATTTTCTCCAATACAATCGTGACTTTTCCATAAATCCGCAAATAAGGAGGCAGTTATGGAAACAGCGTTTTATGCCCTTCAACATGGTATACATCTCATCCTACATGGCCTTTTCGACCAACCATCCTTCCCTTATTAGGGGCTGTCAGAGGAATATTGTGTTTGCCTTGTAAATGTTTATCTGAGCATGCACTATTCAGACTAGTCCTGATTATGTGACGGCTTCGGAGCGGATCACTTCACCGGATCGTGTCAGCGAGACCGTCGAAATGGTGATGAGTTTTGATGGGCACAAATCCTTCTCCTGAGATATCGTTTTCAGAATGCAAACATCGTGGATGGATATGAAACTGATGAAGTTAAATCAGCATCTACTCTTCACAAATCCGATGCTGCTGTGAACCAGGTCTTTCCAGATTGTTCCACTACAAGTTGGCGGTCAGAGACATTTTTTTCGGGGGAGGGGCGGGGAGGGCGTGGGCTTGATTTTTTTGAATGGGAGGATGCTGAATTAGCCACGCTTTCGGATTGTCTATAATTCCGAGTTCTGACAATAGAAGGCATGGCTACGCCTCCTTTTTCCAGATCACTGGGTATCCACGCCCCCGAGAAAATTTCCTGTAGAGGGTCAATTTGATTTTCTGGAGTAACTTTGTCAAATATAGTGCATTTTTAGTCAGCCAGCAATATATCTTACAAAACGGCGATACCAGCGGAGATTCGCAACGCACCCGATGGAAAGATCACCAGCTGCCGGAATTGTCAGGAAGTGACTGAAGACCAAGTACAGCAATCATTTCATCCATGTAATCGGCATTCCTACTCTCTCATTCCAGCAGAGAAGAACTTCTCACACTACTGCCCTACATTACATCAAACCCTATAGACCCTATGCTTCAGAATTAGAACTGAGCAGCGCGCAGCACTTGGCAGATCGCCAATCGGTAAAATCTACTTGCAAGCTTCAGTTTTGATGATGTTGATTGCAGTAGACAATGATGTATTCCAGACCGCTAGCGCTTTCAACGTTGCTTATGAGGAAGATGCTGGTAGTTTTGCAGCATCTTCCACACTGTTGAAAACGGCACAATCAACTTCTCGACAAAATATGGTCAGTTGTATAGTCACATGCAGTCAACAGCTCATTGTATTGGTATTTAGCATTCCAATGCCTTCCACAAGGCTTCTGAAGAACCTCAGACGAAGAGCTTTGTGTCCAACGCTAGCCTTCATCCATCAAACCCGATGATTGCCAGGAGTGCACAGTCGACATCGCGATCAAGCATCGTGCGTTGATCCATTTCTGAATACGTGTTCATATGTACTACCAGACTGTTGGCATTATTTTAGCATGGAACTGTCTCAAATACTGCTTGCGGAGGGATTGGACAGGAGATTCGTGTTTCACGCGCTACCCTGACTTCTAATCCTAGCTTGGCTACACCGTCGGCCTCACGTCAGAGCGTTGTCAGTATATAACCACTTATTATTTCAATAACATTTTTGTTAATTAGTCAATGATTCAGTGCTCAAATGCTTCTGATGCTTGTGGAGATCGACTGTCACAAAATGATCACATGTCCATTAGCAATCTTCAGGCGTTAAACCCCATGGCGTTGAAGACGGCACAGTCGACTTCAAGGCAGAGCATCGTGAGTGCAGTATTTATTTTGGTTGGGGATGGATGAGTTCTTTTAGCATGCAAATCCCGCGGACGAAGTTTGTGATGAATTTTCGAGCAGGGATCATCTGTCAAACACAAGTCTATATCAATCAAATCCCATGTTGTTGAGAACTGCGCAGTCAACTTCTCGGCAAAGCATCGTAAGATCTTCCATTTTAAACTGGCAATTAAAGCCTTTATGCTGTTCACCTGTCCCTTTAGAGGTCAAGTTTTTCCAGCTGGCAGAATGATTATATATTTGGTAGTTGAGTGAGAATAGATGAATTTTTGTTATTCCAGCATGCGAACGGCGCGGACGAAGTTGGTGATGAAGTGTTGAGTAGAGAACGTTTGCCGTCAGCCTATTCATCGAACCCTATGCTGTGTAGAACTGCACAGTCAACTTCTCGGCAGAGCATTGTAAGATCTTTTATTTCACTCATTGGCAGAATGAGTATGTAATTGTGGTTGACATCAGATGATTCTTCCATTTCAGCATGCGAATGCCTCGAACGAAGTTGGCGATAAATTTTCAAGTAGAGATTCGCTCAACGCAAACCTATACTGTTCGAACCCTATGTTAGTGAAAACTGCGCAGTCAACTTCTCGGCAGAGCATTGTAAGATCTTTCATTTCACGCCTCAGAAGAAATCATCTATGGTTTCTAGAACTCGATTTTTACAATTGACAGAATGAGAATATAACGATTGGAAATGAGTAGAAATTGATTTTATTCCAGCATGCGAATACCCCAGACGGAGTTGGTGATGAACTGTCGAGTAGAGGGCATTTGCCCGCAGTAGATTTTTCAAACCCTACGTTGTTGAAAACTGCGCAGTCAACTTCTCGGCAAAGCATTGTGAGATCTTTCATTTTATGAACTTTGCGTCAAATTCCAGAATTCTTGGGTCTACGCCGTCGATTTCGCAGCAAAGAATTTGGGCCATCAAGGGGTCGAAACTGTAATGCTACTGTCGTTCTAGCATGCAAGCGCTGCAAACACGGCTGAAAGTCGAAGTCTGCTCGAAGATTACATCAGTGGTGATAATGACGCATGCAGTCGGCTGGTACAAGAACGTGAACAAATTATTACTGGGCAACGTTCGGTATGTCTTCTTCACTTTTATTTGCATTTTGTGTATAGCATATGCATACTATTGATGTGAGTTTTCAGCGCCCAAACCTTTCAAACGTAAGCGTTCAGCAGTCACAGGAAATCAGTGAACCTAATCCCAGCCTTCACGCATCCAATACTACCTTAATGAGGGATGCCAAGCGACTTTCACGACAAAGACTTGTGGGTTAATTTATACTAGACCTAAACAGACGTGTAATAACTGAACGCTTCTAAACTGCGGTTTTACGCCATAGTTATGCGAGTCGCACTCCCAGGTGGGAATTTGCAGTATAACTTCAGAAACAAAAGTTTCTAGCATGCTCGAGGCTAGCAAACTATAAGCTGTGATCCTTTCAGGTATCCGACACCGATCTGCATGCGTCTGAGCCCTTCCTAGAGACTGCACAGTCAGTTTCGCGCCAAAGTATTGTAGGTGCTCACTGCCCCACATGAACAATGTTAATTTCCTATTTTCAGCACTCAAGCGCTCTCTGTCATGATTTTGAGGAGTCTTCTGAGATACAGTCATCTCATGTCAGTCTTCACGCATCTAATCCTACGCTGACGAGAATCGCACAACGTTCGCGAGAGAGTGTGGTCAGTGAACAACGCGGTGAATTCTGAAGTCTGTTGAACATTTCGGATACTGCTATAGCGTTCGAGCGCCTCCAATTCCATTTACGGGTTGTCTCCAAGAATTGGATCTGGATCGAATGTCAATGTGCATAGTCTTCACGAACAGTCGGCTTCTCGACTAAGCAGTGTAAGTTTAATAATAACAATATTAAGACAAATATGAGCAGTGTTCTTTTAGGTTTCACATAATAATGTGGCCTCAGACGTATCAAATGCTGTAACTACAGCCAATGCCAACCTGCGAGCTTCCAACCCCATACTTTTGAGTACCGCGCAGTCAGATTCACGTCACAGCATTGTAAGCATCTCGGTATTAGTATTATGGCTGTATGTTGGTGTATACCAGTGGTGTACACCCAGGATTTCAGTTCGGGGGGGGGGGGGTGCGACGAAAGGTTTTCCCTGAGGAAAAGTGCGTTCAGCCACATCACGAATATTCTTTCGGTATACTTCCCAAAATTTTTGTGGGACCATAATCCCGAAATTTCAGAGAAAGGAGGCGTAGCGCCAAACACGCTTTTGGAAATTTTTTGAAGGCTAAATTTAATTTTTGAAAATTTTAAAAAAGTACTTTAATTACTTTTAAGTAAAAACAATCATTCGTACATTTTATAACTCGTGTCAATAACTTTTAGAAATTTCGTGACCCATTCTCGGGGGGGGGGGAGTGCACATTCTACTTCGCATCAAGGCGTTTGAGTTCTCAGCTGAAGTAAAATAAAAAAAAAAGAAACACTATAGATTAGGATTTTATATCAAGATTTTTATTAAGGAAATAAATGCGGCCTGCAGGGAAAAAGGTTTGACATATACGTCTGATGCTGGTCTGTACACATCCAATCCGGCAATAGTGATCCAATCGGCTTCTCAGCAAAGCCTTGTACGTGAGCTTGTGTTGCGTCGGAATCGAACGTCACTTTGCTCTTGCAGAATTCGAACAGTAATACTGACATACCCTCAAACAATCCGCACTCCCTTGACTTTGGTGGTGTCTCACAATGGACTACACAATCAAGTTTACATCAAAACATGGTAACATCAACCAACTTTCGTGTTGTATTACGGTAGCGATTTTTTATAGGGCTCAAGCAAATGCAGTGTTGCTTGCGATGAGGACGTTCAACTATTATGTAAATCTTCTGATATACATACTTCGGTTTCTACGGTGGGTTGCTGATTTCCAAACCAAATTTTGAGAGTCAGGAAATTCTGGTGCTTGTCGTCGTTTGTTCTTCCACGGAACTTTTGGTCTGCTAATTTCCTCTTTCCTGAAGTGTGTAATTTTAGTCGGGTAGCTGCAACGTTTTCAACGCACAGCCCGCACCCCCTGCTAGTCTCTTCAGTGAGAACGAGAATCCCGTAAACCCGGAGACAAAGACAGCGCGATCTGCTTCTCGACAAAGCATGGTAATCTCCAGCAAAATATTGTGCTTCAATGTTTGAGTTAAAATTTTTCAGCGGATCGGCTCTTCTGTGGCTGTTAGCGACCATTGTAATGACGAGAATCCACAGAGTCTTCGGATGTCCCGTGTCAGCCTCAAAGCACCGAGTATTTCATCTTTGAAAACTGCTCAGTCCACATCACGGCATAGCATAGTAAGTGAAGGCTCCTGTTTGGTGTATCTTATATCTCCCTTCTTCAGCGCTCAAATTCCGATGTTGCTTACGACGAACGTCCAACGATGCTGTGTGCATCTGATGCCAGTCTAAACAAATCCAATACCAGACTGCCAAGAAGTGCTCCGTTTTCTTCAGAACAAAATGTGAGTTTTCTGGAGAATAGAATAGACCACCGAGATTTTCCAATCTTGCAGCTTGCAAATTCGGATTTGGCGCATACAGATAGTGCACAGCAAGTCGAGGCTTCCATTGCCGTACTCCACGCATCTAATCCTGCACTGACGACTGCGCTGTCGACTTCTGAGGGAGACTTGGTAGGATGCTGTAACGTTACCGTAACCACTCAAGTTTCTGTAAAAGCTGGCGCTACCTTTGCAACATTTGATATTGTATACGACTGAAATAATTTCCTTATTTCTTGCATCGTGCTAGTGTTTCCGCTAATAGCGGACCGACAACAGCGCATTTATCCAATACTAGTCTCCGAACGTCCAATCCTGCTATGGTGAGGACTGCGCGTTCCACTTCCAGTCGGAGCTTGGTAAGTCGTAAGGTGCGCTTTTTGAAGGCAGTGTAGGGGGAAAAAGTCGATTTAGAGATTTTGTGCTTGCCCGGGACTGTTCGCTATGCTGAATCCGAAAGTCTGCGCTGGAGAGCGCGAAAACGGCGGAAAAGGGCGCTAATGCAGGACGGCAATAGCAAGTGGGCGGGGTCTTCCCACCGTGGACGCACGATCCCACGAGCGATCTTGCCGGTTCCCATTTATGTCACGCGTTTGCACTTGGTCGGTGGCGATGTCAGGGCAGTTAGCGGAATTGAGAAAGAGCCCTTTTTTGCTGTTTTCGCGCTTTCTAGTATAGATTTCGATTTCAGCATATCGAATATTCCCGGATAAGCATGAAATCTCAAAATCGATTTTTTGCCCGGGCACTGCCTTTGACCGCTGTTCATCGCAGCCAAAAACAGTACGTTTTTTTCGGATTCGCAGAAAATTATCGCTGGTGGTCTGGCGTCCTGATGTTGGAGAAGGATCTTAAATTAGTGGTATCAGCATACTGCTTCCGATCCATTCGGAAGAAACCTTTATCAATAGGCTCTCTGGCAGTGCCAATAAAACGAATCCGGCGATTACGTGAACAGCAGATTCGACTTCTGAGGAGAGCACTGTCATCCACGCTAGCAATTTACGCATCAAGTGTCCTTGAGATTCTTGTAGGCTGAAGCAGATGCAAACGTAATTAACGACGAACCTTTGAGCAAAATTCATGTTTCAACCAAGAGTTTCCACGCATGATTGTAAATGCGTTAATTGCTTCAAAATTCTACTTATGCAGTAGACAAAAAAGCAATTTCTGAAACAGTGTCTGTTTAGGCATCTTCATACTATTCTACACATATCACGCCGACATTAGCTCATTGCTTAGTTTACCTTCTAGCCGCGTTGCCATGCTCTTTTGTATTTCCTACCGCTAACCGAAGTAGAAGACTTCGTGAAATAATTCAAAATCAGTTGAAGAAAGAAAGTCCCTACTCTGCTAATATCACAACATGTGCGCCTAGAGAACCTCGCATGAGTAAAGACAAGACATTGTTTTCCTAACAGCCTTGGCACGCTGTTACGTCGTGAATGATATGTAGTGATTTTAGCAGCGTAAAGGATATGATCTCAACAGTTGTGAAGAACATAAGTCGAAGATATTCTGTTATTTCGTACCTAACAGAGAAGGTAGCAGATATTTGCATGTATTTTCAGAATAGTAATGTTCCCGTTGTTGCCAGTCGGACCACATCAGAAATCATCCCAGCAAACGAACCTCCTGAAAATCCTCCATTGAGGATTGGCGTGGTATGATTGCATTGGTTGTACAATTGTCGATAGCAGCAATTTGTGCACATTTGGTCTATACAAGTTCTAAGTGTAGCTCCACTTCGCATCGATTGGTCTTTTCAAATCCCTTGTAGCTTCAGGACCATGTCTAGGTATAGTCGGTTTCATCCCGGATTAGGCGAATTATTCTGCGTGGAGCAACGCGTGCGCATCGCTGGAGGCTTCGCGAGCGCATAGCGCTGGCACTTTGCCAAGCAAAGACTGAGGAGAATGAAGAGACGCAGGCTTGGGTTCTCAGCGCGATATAACATACTGTAGCTGCGAAACGGCGCGAACCGTTGCGAGGCAGACGCCCGCCAATCCAATTGCCTAAAGTGGGTCGAAACGTACTGTACATAGATGTAAATTTCCATTCGATCCCGAGTTCGCGTGATCTACTTTATCCACTCCGCTCAATTCAGTGAATTGACCAATAGTGAAACGGATCCAACTTGATCCGCTTCTCCACTTCACTAATCAAGTTCGACAATAACGATGTGGATGAATCGGATCAAGTGAATCAGATAAAGTGTGGCCCGCTTATAGCAATGCATTACTACAGAAAAACCACTCTCGTCTGGCTCTTTCTTGCCTCTTTCGACTTGGCTTCCTCCAAGCGAAGGAGACAAAAACGATGAAATCGGTAAAATCAGTATCCTGAGCGTCATCATATCCTCACCAAAGTCTATGCTATCGTCTCCTTCGCTCTTCTTCTTATAACGTACAGACGCAGTTCGCGTATCTAGAAAATAATCGAGTGCCTTTCGGTACAGACTCTTACAATTTGTGACGTTCGCGACATGCAGTCGTCTGCCGTTAGGCTGGCTTCACAGACCGCGTCGGTACCCGCCGGTACCCGTCTGGACCGCGTCGGAAGGAACCTGTGGAGAAAAAATGGAGCGAAGGAGATATGCCCGGATATTGGCATCTTGGAGCACGCATGGAATAACGCACACGTTGTGATGCTCATATCAGTGGGTGGAGGACGATATGTCGCCGGATTTGGAAGAGTCCCGCGCGGATTCCCTGCAGGAACGCATGTCCGCGCATGTATAAGGGTGCGTATTTGTCGCAAATGACCGCGGGGACCGCCCTTTTTCGGCGACATATAGTCCTCCACCACATATCAGTCACAAGTGACTCGACGGTATTTTCGATTGCGTTTGGGTTCTGGCGGATTTGGACGGGTACCGGCGCTCTGAAACCTGCGTTGAGCTACAGTACTTGCTAATCAAGAAGTCCCCTTTTCGCACTCTGCATCTCGCGAAGTCTATGTGCCGATTTCTGGACTGATAGGGACAGTTTGGAGGCCAAAGCCATACAGTTCAAGAGCAGCGAACGCTCTTACAAGGGAATGGTCAGAAATCGAAGTGGCCATTCCAGACAAGTTGGGTAACGTTAGATGCAGCATGAAGCGATCACTCTAAATCTGTCTTCCTTACCTGCTTATCGCTTTTCTGGACGAAGCTATAAGCCATTAAAAACCATTATTTTGCTAAGAAATTATGCGTGAAATTGAAAATTTAGCCGTACAGAGCCACGCTCGCCTCAATGCTGGGCCAAAACATGCAGCTAGCTCACTTAAAATCCTTTAAGCCAGAAGCTAAGCGAAAAGTGCAACAATGTGCTCAATTTCGCTGTTTTTATGTATGATTTTTTCACAGAAAAACCGCTTGTAGTTTCGTCCAGAGAAGCGGGAAGCAGATAAGGAAGACAGATTCGAAGTCAGTGTTTTATACTGCATCGAATGATATACAGCTTCTTTGGTTTGGCCACTTCGACTTCTGACCATTCCCTTGTTAGAAACGTTTTCCCATAAGATATATAGAACTCACTTATGGCGCAAATTGTAGATTTGTTAGATCTAAATTTGACAGGTTGAACCGTCTTGAAGATTTTAGTAGTCTATCCCATTGATGGATTGCGCCTTAGTATTTGATATAATCAAAAAACGTTTTTTCTTACAGCGTTGAAAGAGAGGCTGTTTGTGTAATTGGTCCTTGCACGATGTAGCGCTATGGTAGCATCGAATTCAAATCTTGCCTCCTTTTTTGGCGTTTTTTCCTCCCTCCTTTTTCATAAGTTTTTTGTTCTGATAGAAATCATGCTTATGTATGCATCGTGGTAAAGCCTTCACCGATTTGTTTTTGCTTTCCGTGTCCTAGTAATCTTCAACTTTTTCTTGACGGAGGCACTCTCGGAGTTTGCCCTAGTGCAGTCTGTTTGCAAAGGAAAACAAAAGCAGAAAACTGATACCCAAGTTATCATCATTGGTTGTCATTTGTATCTATGAAAAGTTTTTACTGAAGTAGGAGTTTTTATATGGTCAAAGACGTGGCTGTCTTTTTCTGCATTCTCAGTTCAGTTGAAGTTTAGACTTAGTTGCATCTTTTTTCTAACACCTGTCTTGCAGGCTACGAGTTCTCCACTCACGAGGTCACTATCTTGCTGCAGTGCAATCAGTGTCAGTTCTTTTATTATGTCAACTTTCTCAATCCCACATAACTTATCGTGATGCTTCTTTCTTATCCTTGACTAACGTCACTTATTAATCTTATGTCTTCTCTCTACAGCATTCGGATTTCAACAATAATAGCGACACAATGCTGACAGCGCGCTATCCTAGTTCAGCTGATATCGTACAGGAGGTGAGTGTTAGTTTTCAATGTTGTTACTGAGTTGTACATCCCCGACTCATCTGCATCCGAGGTGTTGTTCTCAGATTGTTCTTAGATTTTGTAAAAGTTATATCTGCTGTTCGGTGTTTGGTTTCTTATTGTTGTAGCAGAGGACTTTGAAAACGCGGGAACACTGCTGGAATAATGGTAAAGTCTTGCTTTCGTCGACTGTAGCACGATTAGTCGTGTAGGAAAACTATCACAGGCGAAATGCAAGAGGATCGGCCACTCGTAAAAATTGTCATGTTGGGAGAATCGCGAGGCGAATAAATCGCGTGATGCCCTAGCCTACGGCATACCTCATGCAATTCGGCCAAGTCGCTACTTTCACGCTACTTGGCAATTTGCCAGATTTCTACAAATTTATCATGCGCGCTTCTCGAACGCATATCTGGGTAGCTTGTGCAAGTTGTGCCAAATGGATCAACTGACCAAAGGAAGCGCACTAACGACGGATTACAAAGAATCGCTGTTGTGCCAAATCGCGCGAGGTATGCCTTAGGCCTTACAAGGGAATGGTCAGAAATCGAAGTGGCCATTCCAGACAAGCTGCACACCATTAGATGCAGCATGAAGCGCTGACTCTAAATCTGTCTTCCTTACCTGCTTATGGCTTTTCTGGACGAAGCTATAAGCCATTAAAGACCATTATTTTGCTAAGAAATTCTGCGTGAAATTGAAAATTTAGCCGTACAGAGCCACGTTCGCCTCAATGCTGGGCCAAAACATGTCGCTAGCTTACTTCAAATTTTTGAAGCCAGAAGCTGAGCTAAAAGAGCAACAATGTGCTCAATTTCGCTGTTTTTATGTACGATTTTTTCACAATAAAACCGCTTGTGGCTTCGTCCACAGAAGCGGGAAGCAGGTAAGGAAGACAGATTCGAAGTTAGCGTTTTATACTGCATCGAATGATATACAGCTTCTCTGGTTTGGCCACTTCGACTTCTGACCATTCCCTTGTTAGATGCGAAGTCTTACTTTGAAAATAGAACTTTCCAAATTTTGAGACGGGTGAATCAGTATTTTATGATCTCTGCTGAAGTTCATTCCGGACGACGCAATGTCTCTTCCAGCATTTTGCTTTTTCGCGATTACTATATTACGGTGAACTTCGGGATTCTTTGCATTGATATAGCTGCATCAGATATATGCCGCGTTGGGATATAGGTTAGGTCGGTACCATTAGGCTTCTTTGAAACATTTACCAGTGCGAAGCGACAAAGTTTGGGGATGCTTCGGATTTGTCGCGTCTTTGAGATTGCGTCGGTGTCATGCCAGCAGATATCTGGGTGAAGCTTTATCGTCATCATTCTCTCAACGTTCGACTACTGGTAGTCTTCAGAGTGTTTCTGCTCCGACAAGAAGGGGGTCGCAACCAGGGTCAAGCAAGAGGTGTGGCACACGGTCGCTGGTTACGACCCCCCCCCCCTCTTATTGCTGTCTCAATAAGACCCCCTGAACTATATATCTAAGACAGCATTACTTGAAGGCCCTGTCAAACATAACGGGCAACATATCCATAATTAGCATGTCAATTAACCCCTGTAGACAATGTTTGAGCGAATTCTAAGTTTCAAGATACTGGGTCACCTAAATGATATCGCCATTTTCCATGATTAACTTTATTTTAAAGGTAAAGTAGCTGGCTATTCTTGCACTCAAGACAAGCACTACTTCTTCTTTGGCCACTTCAGAAATCTCGTTCAAAAACACCTCCCAACTTTGGAATTAGAAGACCAAAATCTTGTTTTTTCTATTTTTCGCTGTTAATGGCTGTGCTTTCACCAAATATTACTCAGAGCTAAGAAGACGAATCAGGCTCAAATCACTTCTATGAAATCTACGAGGTCTAGGCTATCGATTCATATAAATAACGTTCGCTAAAAATGTTTTTTTGATATTGTTAGTGGGGTGTGGCACTGCCCCTAAAAAGCTGTGGCTGCCACAGCTTGTTAGGGGTAGTGCCACACCCCATTAACTTACCTTCAAACATATCAATCAGCTGCGTTTTTTATATTGTTGTTAATGCTTAACCTTCTTCTTTACATAGCAAATTTCATATGAAATCGTTTCTTCAAGAGCAAGATATAACCGCTTTTTCTTACCTTGGAAATCTAACATACTGGTAAAATACTGCGAAAATATTGGGATACGGTAACATGCTAAGTCTGCATTACTACGTGAATCGCAAGAGAAGGCAACTAGAATGTATATATTCGATAGCCTAAGCCTCATAATTTACATTAAAGTGATTTGAGCCTGATTGGTCTTCTCTAGCCTGAGATATTGAAAACGAAAAATGGAACAAACGAGATTTTGGCTTGCTCTTAAAGGCAGTGGCTCGGCAAATCTCAGCCTAGCCAAATTTTCGCGTACCTGGGCTTATCCAATACGCTGATCCCGAAAGTCCACTTTTGAGAGCTTGAAAACGCCGAAAACGAGCGTTTTTCAATGCCCTTCCCTTTGGAATTGAACGAGTGGAGCAAGGCTGATGCGACGAATCGTTGCAGGAACCAATGGTTATAGCATTGCGGCGGGCAGCCTCCAACCGGTGAGAAGGAAATTGCGGACTCGTCCGGATGCGTGTAAGATTGGCCTGCGCGCGTAGGTTTGAGAGCAATTTTCTCGGCAGGGAAGGCATGCCGTGCAACCTGGATTGCACTGTTTTTATACTTGGTCGATAAGAAGCCTACCGCTTTAAAATTTTGAGTTGTTGAGTTTTGCCGAACCACTGCCTTTAAAGGCACCTAACGGCACCGTCCACCCAGATTTTCGACTTCTACGTTTTTGTCGTTTCAGGTGAAGTCGAGAATGCTCGAAAACCCCAACAACCCCCGTTCCGTAGACAGGCCGGCTTTCTGGAACGGTGATTGGATGGGCGCGCACAAATGGGCGGGCATGGATGGGGAGGGCGGGCATGGACGAGGGTCCTCGTGCATCTTCGCTATTCCGAAGCGATTTTCTCGCTTCCGATGCGGCATTTTGAGCCGCGACTTGGGCATTGAATTGATAAGGAGCCTACTATTATATGCTGCCAAAAACTCAACGCTCTCACCTTAGGGTGGACGGTGCCTTTATTTACTTAATTTGGAGGTCATTTGAAGTAGGATTTCTAATGTGAGCTAAGAAATAGCAGTTCTCTGTATTAAGCGCAAAAAGAAGTAGTTAGCTTACCTTTGAAACAAAGTAACATGTTTGAAAACGACCATCTCACATAGGTGGCCCTGTATTTGGAAACCTCAGAATTCGCTGGACCACAGAGGTTATTTTGCTTGCTAATAACAAAACGATGTTCTTCTTATATATAAAGCTGAATGTCTGTTTGTATGTCTGTCTGTATGTATGTCTGTATGTATGTATGTACGTATGTTCCGAATAGAAAATTCCATTTCTGAACCGATCCGGACCAAACTTGGCACACATACACTTCGGGCCCCGGCGGGTGTCATAGGCTACTTCTCGTCATCGATCGATATCGATTTTATCGATTTTTATCGATTTTTTTGCTGAGTTCACCTACGGGGCTGGGAGTTGGCACAGGGGGGTAATCGAGCATGGGGATTCCGAATACAATATTGGATTTCAGGATTACCGATTACTTTTATCGATTTCATCGATTTTTTTGCAAAGTTTGAGCTACGGGGCTGGGAGTTGGCACAGGGGGGTAATCGAGCATGGGGATTCCGAATACAATATTGGTTTTCAGGATTACCGATTACTTTTATCGATTTCATCGATTTTTTTGCAAAGTTTGAGCTACGGGGCTGGGAGTTGGCACAGGGGGGTAATCGAGCATGGGGATTCCGAATACAATATTGGTTTTCGGGATTATCGATTACTTTTATCGATTTTATCGATTTTTTGCAAAGTTTGAGCTAGGGGGCTGGGAGTTGGCACAGGGGGGGGGGGTAATCGAGCATGCTGATCATCCCCAAGGGGGGTGATCAGCATGATCGATTACACCCCTGTGCCAAATTCCAGTCCCCTAGCTCAAATTTTCAAAAATCGATAAAATCGATAAAAGTAATAAACGATCTTGAAAACTAATATTGTATTCGTAATCTGCATGCTCGATTACCCCCCTGTGCAAACTCCCAGCCCCGCAGGTCAAACTTTACAAAAAATCGATAAAATCGATAAAAGTAATGGACGATCCTGAAAACTAATATTGTGTTCGTAATCAGCATGCTCGATTATCCCCCTGTGCAAAATCCCAGCCTCGCATGTCAAAATTTACAAAAAATCGATAAAATCAATAAAAGTAACCGATAATTCTGAAAACTAATATTGTATTCGGAATCCCCATGCTCACTTCCCCCCCTGTGCCAGCTCCTAGCCCTGTAGGTGAACTCTGCGAAAAAATCGATAAAAATCGGTAAAATCGACATCGATCGATAACGAAAAGTGGACTGTGACACCCGCCGGGGCCCGAAGTGTATGTGTCCCAAGTTTGGTCCGGATACGGCGGAGCCGGGTAAGCCAGCTAGTCTTATATATAAAGCTGAATGTCTGTTTGTATGTATGTCTGTATGTCTGTGTGTACGTATGTTCCGAATAGAAAATTCCATTTCTGAACCGATCCGGACCAAACTTGGCACACATACACTACGGGCCCCGGCGGGTGTCATAGGCTAATTTTCGTCATCGATCGATATCGATTTTATCGATTTTTTGCAAAATTTGAGCTACGGGACTGGGAGTTCGCACAGGGGGGTAATCGAGCATGTTGATTACGAATCTAATAATGACAGGGCCGGGCGGAGCCGGGTAAGTCAGCTAGTGCTTTATACTTTAATTATGCTTACTGTACGTATACGAGAATGGGTCAAAGATCAACGTGCTAGTATTTTGCATGACGGGCCTACTTGTCATCGTTAAAGGCAGTAGGTCGGCAGAATGACACCCGTGGCAAAACAAGGTCACAGGGTAGAGCCCCATAATGGAACCTATGGGCCAAAGTTCGATCTTTCTCTGCCACTTCTAACACCCGAAATTTCAAAGCGAAGGCAGCACTCACCTCCTTTCCTCTCTGAAACCGCCCACCCCATGGACAAGTGAACACGAAGTCCGTCATGGCGAAGACGCAGAGTCGTTGCGGTATCTCATGCTTATAGCATTGCGGCTGGCGCTCTGATCGCGGAAATCACTCGTCCATGGGGTGGGCGGGTTCGGAGAGGACAGGAGATGAGTGCTGCTTTCGCTTTGAAATTCGGGGATTAGAAGTGGCAGAGAAAGATTGAACTTTGGACCATAGTTTCCATTATGGGGCTCCTACCCTGTGACCTTGTTTTGCCACGGATCTCATTCTGCCGACCCACTGCCTTTAATGAATAACATGTTATGCGAACAGCGGACGCCTTGATAGCGACCCCCCCCCCCCCTCCCTGATTCCTCAATACGACCCCCATGTGTGGCATGCCACACCCCACGCTTGATCCTGGTCAGTAGAAACCACAAGTAGTTGCAACACTAGGCCACTTGGTAACAAAGTAAAGCTGCACTTGTGCCCCTTGTGCACAATATCGCGCTGACAAAATTTCCAACACACGACTTACTACAAGAGAGGATTAGAAACTTATTGTCGCGGCTTGTTTTTGAATCAAGGTACAGTTTCTTCTGAAGACATCTACGTACAAGTTGGGTATTGCAAAAATGCCAATCTATATAACAAACTTCATTAACCCCCCACAGTGTCACTTTTTGAAAAATGGGACGTATATATCTACTGCTTATGGGAGTGTAGTAATACTACCGTAAGCATTTGTTCTAGGATGTGGTTGATGCTGCGCCCAGACCAACCATTCGTCGTTCGCTACAAGCAATACCGACAGCGCTTTCTCGCACATCATCTCGTGCCAGCGTTCATGAAGCGCAAGGCATGCCGAACGATGACGTGCAGGTGTTCGAAGGCGCCGGTGGAGGACTATGGTATCACTTTAATGTAAGCATAATTGAAAATTATGTAATCTTTTTTGAATATGAGATAACGTTTCATAATTGAATTTTTAAGGACGAGCGGCGCAGGGCCTCTGCAACCAGCACGATTCATCCACCCCGCTCCGAAGAGCTCGTGATAAATGCTCATGGGTCAGAAACCACACATATTCCGCCTAAAGTGAGCGGTAATTCCCTGCCTTCTTTATCACTTTGAGTTCACAAATCTAGAAACCTCCTCGAAGTCGATCATCGTCCGCTACTCGTAACGAGGTGCATTTCTCATCAATCCCTCAGTTACTCAGTCATCCAGATGACCGCTTTGGTGTAGAAATGAGTGGAGAGGTGATCAGTTGTACCTTTTCTTTCTGGCGATTAGAATTTCAGCTTGGATGGTTTTTCTAATATTCTTTGATATGGTTTCAGCCATACCGATCTTCATCGGAGCATGAGCTGACACCGCATGCGCAGAAGACTGGTTCCAAACTGAGCGTTGCAACCGCTGTAGCGGCTGAGAATGTTCCGTATAATGTAAGATGACTTTGGTTACATTTACCTATTGAATCTACGGCACTTTAAGAGGATGTTGTTTTTTGTGATTTAGCTTTCACAGGCTGAGGTTGACGTGCAAAGTGGCATGATGACGGTTCCTACACGGAGGTCCTCCGTTCCCGAAATCATCACTGCTGGTGTAAGTAAAAGCACATTCCTGATTTTTTTCTCGGTAGTTTCTATGCACCATTTTTTGTTAGAAATGAGCACTAGCGTGTGTGCATCGCATTATGTATGTTCTCATTTTCTTTCCCAAGAAAAAGCCAATCAGTGCGAGCTGTTACCCACTTTCTGTTGTGCATACACACTATCTACAGAACGATCCTCCAAGTCGAACACCGTCGCTGAAAAGCGTGGATATCGTGCCGTCACCACTAGTTGTTACGGACGCTCTCACGGTATGTTATCGGCGCTCTCTCTTTTTGATTTCGAGGAACACATTAGCCATAAATCCACTGAAACTATGGAATTGGCCTAATTTACCGGCTTGCGTTGAAATGAGTCTTTGATGTATCTCGTTAGTACGTGGCCCAGGACTTTGTAATTGGTTGCAGTTGTTTGCTGGCTACTTGTTGTTGATGAGCGAGCCTTCTTACTTAACCAATTTTATTCATGGTTATCTTCAGTATGTATTGTAAATTCCAGCCAAAACGTGCACCATACGAGTTGAAGGACGGAGAAGTGTACGATTCGCCGGCTAGCTTCAACAGAACCCTATTCACGCGGGACGCATTTTTGCGAAGAAGATACAGAGAGGTGCTTATGTAGCAGTGATCTTCTTTGTGAAGTATAGATGGTGAAAATTACACCAAATCTTCGGACAAAAATGGATGAGATCTTCGATCCGATGATGCTTGCTTATGCCCATAGAGTAGCTATTGAAAAATTTATAGAGGGATATGCGGATATGCTATCTGAGAGGAACACATTTAGATGTTTCTGGGTAGTTCGTAATCATTTGTCACTTTTATTTGCATAAATCTTTGTGAAATCGTCACTCCGCTGATCAAAGTTACTCTTTTGCTGAAATATCTGGATATTCATCGTTTCTAATAGTTAACCTAGGAAGTCGACATCCTTTATTTCTTGAGTTTTCATTCATTTGAAAAGAGAATACACATATGTTATATCAGTAGACTCAAAATAGTGTTGTTTTTCTTGTAGTCGTAGGCATTTCGATAGAAAATGACAGTAAATTACTATCCTTCTCATAGGATTAGCTTCATATAGAGCTACCCCTCTTGTAGTCGTAGGAGATTCTGTTATATCACTGATTTTTAGCCTGAGCGTGCCGAAGTGGGAATCCAAACAGGAGAAACAATACGTCTTCGCCAGAAAATGTCATTCGAAGAAGGTTAGTTTTGTGCCACAGAGCTAACTATTATAATAAACTCAAACTCCAGGACCCACGACTGTGATTGAGACTGTCACCAGCACTTGTGTCGCGCCACTGCAGCCTAATCATGCGAGCTCGGAGAAGTCTGATGCTTCCATGGGGAGAATGGAAGTAAGTGCAAAAAAAAATCAATATTGAATTATTTAGCAGGAACTTCAGTCACAGAGAAAGTTAGTAAAATTTCAGCATGTTGCTGCGCCTATGTTGAATGCTATGCTCCAACAACGTCAGATGCATGCTGAATATAATAGCACGGGGAACGCCTTTGCGTCAGAAACTTTGAATAAGCCTGACAGTGCTCAAGTTGGAGAAATTCGCCTACGTGGACGTGAGGTAAGGAGTTTTTGCGAGACGAAGCAATCTGTAACGGTGGGCAGTGAAAGGAGAGCGTTTTGTCAATTATGCGGCAGATGTCTGCTTGCAGTACGCTGTCTCCACCCTTTACAGTGAGCGGGTCGACCATATTTTGCAGTAGTCATGGACTGATTGTCCGGATACTGAGTAATACAGATATCACCACATTTTCGAGGCAAATTTAGCGCAAAGGTTTTCGATGGTTAGAGTGCGAACTTTCTTTGTTGAGGATAGGCAAGAAAACCGCCGCAGAAAATGGAGTTTGTAATGGAGCCGAAGCTTCATGTTTTGAGCTGAGCGAATTTTTATCTAGGCATGTCGACTTCAACCTTGTGGTAATATATTGCATACTAGCGTTGCGGATTAGAATACAGAATTCAGAGATTATGCATCACGCGCTACATCGCTCTGTGCCCACTTTTGCACTAGGCAAAGGAGTAGTAATATTTGCTTTCAGATACCATATAACAGATCCCAAAGACGTTCCTTTATTGATAACCAGCACCATCAGTACGAAACAAGAACTCATAAGACGTGGAAGAGTAATACGAGAAGTCAGTATGAAGAGGGGAAGGTCTGCGGATGATTACAGTAGATCATGTCAAAATCAGTACCTCATAATCTGATTTAGTTTGATGAGAATTGCAACGAGCTAAGAAATGACTGGGAACAAGCAGATGCGAGAAATACGAACGTTTACGTGCTGCAGCGGCAGAAAACCCTTAGTGAATGTTCGGATCAAGTATTCGAGGAGACTGTAAAGCAGAAGAAGTTCCAAGGCCCAACGGATTCTGAAACAGCAATCGTCTTTGAGAAACAAGCGGAAGTGATAGTCGATCCAAAACTGCGTCAAAATGTAAATCAAAGTGTGCTGTCCAACGACGCTCAACATATCGGTGCAGCGGTCTCAAAAAGTTCTGGTATGCCTGTCGCAGCTTACAATGTTATACCAAAGAGGACCGCTGAGGAGCTAAGGCAAAAAGTACGGTATTATTTTTTAAGTTTGTGTGTGTCGATTTGGCCAGTTAAGGTGCTAGCCGAATCGCGCTCGCCATCCAAACCCAAAACTGAACGGACATTTGGGTTTGATAACCGTTGCGCACAGTCGGAGGCTGATCGAGTATCCCTGAGTAATGTGGCAACGAGAAATAGCGCTGTCACGAATGATTTATCGTATGTGCAGCCTTCACGCATCTCGATGAATATGGTAAGATTAGCGTTCATGTGAGATAAGTGTTAATTTTTTCTATCTCTTGTTATTCCAGCCAAATTCGTCGTCTTTATATAGTCCAACATCTACACGATGGCCGAAAGGTTCCAGTATCGATAGATCCGGTACGTCCCGTACCCTAGGAATTTTTAAGTAGTATTTTTTTGTCTTCAGAACAAGGTTCGCCGTATAGATGGCAAGTTCCAGGTATAGATATTCATAAAGAATACAGAGAGCCAGATGCTCGCTCGAATGACAGCAAATTGAGCAGTACTGGGAGTACAGTAAGGTGAGAATAGAAATACCATCTGTTTGCTTCATTTGGAGTGAACCCGACTCGCGCGGCTCGGTCCCACGCCGCCGCTCACCTGGGTTGCGCTGCGTTCGCGAACGTCTTTTCTGGCAAATTTCCACGCCTGATCTACGACTGAAGCTCGCTTCTGAGCCCTTTGGCACGCTCAAGTATGGGAAAATTATCAGATACACGTTCACGAACGCCGCTCAAGGTTAGGGCAGCCGCGTGGGACCCGAACCGCTTGAGTCCTGCATATTCTATACAATACAGAGGGTAACTTTTTTTCTACGTAAACAATGTTCCTTTTAGGCGTCATGTACCTCGTGGTCGTATCCGTGACCTCGCCAGACTTTTCGATAGAATGACTAGACAAGCTGAAAAAGAAGCTGCAGTACTTCGAGGAAAATCAGTACAACCTCCAAAGCATCGTTTCAAGTTCCGCACTCGTTCCATGCCAAGGCAGCAGGATCTGAGACGTGAAGAGGAAGATGATGAAGATAGGAAGCAAGTGGAAAGTAAGTCAGATGTGGTTGGTACACACTCAGACTGCTTCAAACTTACAGCGCCTAACGTCGAAGAGCCTTCGGGCTACAAACTCGCTCAGCCAGATATCAACTACAACCAAATGCTCAGTACTGGCCAGCAAGAGCCCATGAATATCCGTAAGCCAAGTAGCGGCGATGCTCCTGAAACACCTACGGCTAATCGATGGTCAAAGATGCTTGTTGCTGGGTAAGTATATAGGATGCGTAGCAAGTCCTGAGTGCACCACCACTTTTTGAAGTCTTGCACCTGGTATGATGCACCCCGTAAATGATGAAGCCGCCTCGACGGATAGCCGTTTGGATCTAAGGAGAACCTCTACACCTATGCACAACAGAGGCGATGGTACGCTTACTTCTTGTTCGGTATTGATCGAGAGTTGAATGTTATCAATTTCTTCAGAGTGCAGTAAACTTGTAGCAATATTGTGGCAGTTTGGATCTCATATATTTTAGGGGATTTAGCGAAGGCTTTTGGTCGCGTGCCATCCATACACTCCCCCGAAACATCAGCTTTATATGAGGGAAAACCTGTAGAGAGGTAGTAAGGCAACTATACTGAAGAAGCCAGAGATTTATTGATTTAGTGAGTATGTGGCTAGCACCAATAATGAGGATCAACCGGAGAATATCAACGCTGGCCAATTTTCTGAAAAGCTGGATGTCAATCGGGAACCATCTGAGCACCATTATGCGAAGCCTATGATTGTCAAACCAAATTTGCCCCCGCAAAGGTCCGTTATTTGAATCCCAAACGTGGTGACAATCCCCTGTTGTGGTTTTCCAGAATGTCAGTGATACATCCGAACAATGGTCAGCACGGATATTACGTGCAACAGCACAGGCGTAACTATAGCGAGCAGCTGTATCGTGGCACCGTATGTTTCGTTTAATCTGCAAGATTTTGGAGGCAGCGTATCGGCATATGCTTTGAGTTTTCTTATATTTTGGACTCGATTTTATGGGCACTAAAAATTTTCGACTGCTGTGTTTTTGTTCCTTCAAAGCGCGTAGATGGTCAGCCAGTCACCGCAATAAAAAAAGCATCTAGGACTGTCTTTGACTTTCTAAGCTTTAATAGTTAATTGGTCGCTAGCGCCGCGCCGGATAAGTATTTTCAAGTCGTGATCCTTGCCCAAGGCCCACGATGCGACAACGTGGGTGCTGACCGTGCAAGAGCCTGGTCATACAGAATCGGGTAGTTCTACAATGCCTGGAAACCTACCCGATCTTTGTGTGTTTGTGTGAAAAACGCATTTCTTTAATTAGGTGGCCGAAAACGTTAACAAATGACCATTCATTCACTAGTCATCTAGTAAGTCTCAATGTTATGTTGCAGAAGATCTGTCTGATTTGACATTTGATTTGATTTAGTTATGAAATTTACAAAATTTCAGAGCCCGATCTTCCACTCCGGGCTCTGAATCTCTTGTAAATTCCAAGATTAAATCAGATGAAATGTCAAAACAGTTAAATCTCTTGCAACATACAGTTATCAAAACTTACTCGAAGACTGTAGTCTTCGAGTAAGTGTACTATAGTGATATAGTGTATACACTATAGTGATTTAATTGTTTGATTTGCTAACGTTTTGGCCACCTAATCAAATATACGCGCTTTTTTCACACAATACACAAACGAGGTCGAGTAGGTCAACAAGCGTTACAGACCTACCTGCTGCCTGCTCGTCTGTTGCGCGACAGGCCCCCACATTTGCGCATCATACCTTGAGCGCCCGCGTCTGACTGAATTACGACTTGTACGAGAAACTTGCAACGTGAGGTTGATACATACCGTCCCAGGAAAGCGACTTGTATTGGGACAAGCACAGTTCAGACTTGGCATGTGCAGGAAGCTGTTGGAAATTTAAATTGATTTATTGGGAAGCTACAATTTCAAGCAATGTCGTAATGTTTCCGTCTTCTAGGATCAAGTTGATGGTGAACCTATATACGCCCGCGTACAGCGCATCAATACTAATCACTACCAGTCTCAAGCTCCGCAACAGGTAACCATTGCTACTAATGTAACAAAAACCACGGATGGTCGGATTGGATCGGAATCCTTTTTGGATTTGAAAAAGTGAAGGGTGGCATCCACCCCGATTTCCGAAAAGCTATCTAACTTTTATCGACTTTATGAGCTTATTAGAATTTTCTAGAGAACAGAATAGGTTATTAGCGTCCTTCCATAACGTGTAGACCATTTGTAAAAATCTCGTGACCACTCTTCCTACTCCGCTGCCGAGAGAACCGAAGTCCTATGTTTTTAGGACGTTTATCCGGCGCGATCTGGAAATTCAGCCTCTGCAGATCGAGCATTTAGTGAGGAGGAAAAAGTTAATGGGGAGATCGACCGCATGTTTGATTTCGTTGAGGTAAGCCTCGGTATTCTCTGTCACGTGTGTCAGAAGATTCTTTCCAGCAAGAGCAGGATGGTTTGAGCACAATCGGACATAGAACGGTATCGGAACGAACTTCTGCCATAGTGAAGACTGATGCATATGGGAATGCTCAGGGTGAAAGCCACAACCAGCTTCCAGAACTACCTCCTTATCCACCTCGACCAGCAGCACCTCTACATGTAGTTGATCCGGCTGCCTCACAGCATAGCAGTCAGCCAATCAAATACTCGGTAAGATTTCTTAACGGAATACATACTGCAAGTTTTCACCTTCGGATTGTTTGCGGATTGTTCATTAGGAGAAGCTCGCCAAGAAACCAGTTTTTTGGTCTCTTCTCATTGTGTAGATTGCGGAGAGCCACATACCGTACTTGGCCAAATCATCTACAAAGCAATAGCTTGGCATGGACACTTATCAGATTTCGGTGGTATTAGGTAAGCCCCCCCCCCTCTCCCAACCTCATCATCTGATTCATGCGCGCTAAGTATACACGCTTTATACAACCCCGCCCCCCTCCCCCTCCTTCCCACTCACTTCCGTCTAATGGGCATCAGTGGTGGCCTTTGAAGAGCGATTTCAGACTTAGGGCATGAATGGGTAGATGAAATTTGGCTCACGGGGATTTAAAGGGTCTACTGTTTGAAATCACCGAAATCTGACATGGGGTCACGTTGTCGAGGGCGTCGAAAGCTCGACGCTTACGCAACTTTGTAGCTCGGCCATCATGTCATTTTTCAGATGGGCGGGTTCCGTGATATATCTCGTACGCATCGTTATGGATACATTCCTTCTGATGTACCTCCTCGATTCTCGCCAATGACAGCGCCAACAGCTGGCATTGGTGTCAGCACATATAAGTCCAGAGAAGGAGCGGTTGGTGAAAAGGTATGCTTTTTCAAGCGCTACCACCGTATCTGCGTATTCTTTTTCACATAGAATGGTATACTTATGTTTTAGGTAAACACATATAGCCAGTTTGCTCGCAATACAACTCATCCGTCGGCATTAGCTACCTCAACGCCTGTGGACTCCCCTGTGGGGACAGGCTTTTCTCAAAGTGAGTAATCTTCGTCCGCGCACTTCGCATCTCTCGTTGTTGCAGAGAATAGTGGAGTTCCAATTTTTGACGACTCATTCATCAGCGCTATCACCACTGGCAGTCGCCCAAATAATGCGCATGAGGAGTATAAACGCCAAATGACGGTGAGTCGTTATTCTTGCGTTATTAAAGACTTTATAGTTGTCATTAACTGCGAGAAAAGACTAAAGCTTTCACATTGGATCTTTTTTGTTTCCCAAACAGTTGGCTGGTTTAAAAATGATTGCTTAGCTTTTGATATACAGCAAATTCGGTAAAAAGAGCTTCTTCTGATCATACCAGAGATTATAAGAGGGATGAGTAATTCTGTGTAAAAGAAATTGTCTGCCATCATTAACGCCACTGCCCTCTTCTTCAAAGAATCAACGCTTTAGTTAGCTGAAATTTACATCTCAACCAGATGTTTCTTGCAGAACAATACATCAAGGCTAAAGATACATAATTTTGTTCAGAAGCTTAACAATCAGATCCGTGTGCAGGAGGAACAGATTGAGATGACTTTGAAAGTTTTGGCACTTGCACGTAAGAAGCAGAAGTGCATGCAAGAGGTGGTTTTTTATTCTTTAAATCGAATTATTTCTCGGCTATTCATAATCTTATACTACAGCTATCTGCACAGCGCACTCTTCTTCTGGCACGGGAACGTCTGGACCTTTTGAGATGTGAAGTCAGCCGTATCTCTGCTCTTGCGGCTGTACGCAATCCTCCGCCACCTGTAAGTCGCGAACTGCGCGGCACCATGACGATCTCGAACATCTGCGTCTACCTCAACAGAAGTTTTTGCCAACGACAGTATGAACAAGGTAAGTAGCGACTTACCCATTCATCATGGACTTATCGATTCAGGCATGTGATCGGATGCATTTCAGAGTCCTCTTATGCTCTTCTAATTCTTCTCAAATGTGGTTCTGAAGTGGAAGCAACAGGACCTGTATCGCTACTAGCGCACACTCAGAATCGTGTCCGTCAGTTGACCTTCGCTGAAAATGTGCAGTTTTCTAATTTGCCAGTGGATTTCAATGTGGTGCTAGAAGTTTATGCAATGGTATGTTTCGCAATATTCGTCCTAGGTTATAACTTCTGACCATTTTTGCTGTTTTAGAAACTACCCAACATGAAGAACGTAGAACAATCATGTGCAAGCAACATAGCGAACAAGTGCAAAAATCTGTTGAGTCCAGCATGTGAGCACCTAGCACGAGGAGCTTTGCTTTTCTGAACTCATTATCGTTTAGTGGTGCACCGTTCAAACCGTCCAACCTATCAAGATGGCTCTGAATTTATCCGTTGTGGCTATATCATATTAAACAGAGATACAGTCGGATTGAACAAGTTCTATTTGGATGAAGCTGAATATCCATTGGAGGGTACGATCGAAGTATTTTGCCGCTGCACCACCCTACCACCCGCTATCGAGGTCGAGAATAGAGGATTTTTGGTTAGTTTGTTACTACTTTCTTAGATTAGAGTGAGAGGGGAACGATTCAAAGGGGCTGGCAAAGCAGGTGCCAGCTGTTTTTAGCTCTTACTATAATGACAGCCATCAGCACCATCCTTTCTCGCCTTCTCCTATACAAGTAGCATAGTATGAAAAATTTCTGCACTTTACTTTTTGTCGTTATCGTTGAAAAAAAAACTTCCGAAGTCGCTGGCGTAAGTGCATTTTTAGGCAATGTATCAGACCGTTAGCGATATGGGCGCATGGGAACGATACTGGGCTGTTCTTCGCCGTGGCATGGTTTACTTCTGGCGTTATCCCAATGACGAATCTATGGAAAAGGTTGGTCCTAGTTTTTATTGTAATTAAAAAAACTATACTGTGTTTTAATGTAGTGAAAAATAGCAGGTTACATGTTTTTGAGCACAACTTGATTGCAATTTAGCGTCCCGTAGCGTTCATGGATCTAAGCAAGTGCACGAATGATGTGGTGGCAGCATGCACTCCGGAACAATGTCCTCGGGAAAATTCATTTAGCATTGATATGCTGGTCTCCACCACGCCATCCATGATGGAAAAGAAGCGGTAGGTAGTTATTTTCTTTTCTGCAGCAAGCGCACTCCGCTATCCGCACATATGATTAGATAGCTGGCTGCCAGTGATGTGAAGCGTATAATCATCTCATGAGTGCTGAAAGGCGACAGCTTATTGGCAGTCGCTTTTTGGCACTCATGAGATGATTATATGCTTAACGCTTAGCAGCACATCGTGGATTTCTCAGGGCAAGTATGTAATTTTGAAAGTAATCACTTATGTATCGCTAAAGCTATACGACTTTTTTATTGGCTTCTTCTCTATGCGTACTTCCACATTTCATGAAAAAATCTTTTGTGCAAATCTTGGGATTCAAGCAAAAACAGTATTTGACATTGATTCTAGGGTGAGTAGGTTTTGCCCGTTTTCAAGACGACCCCCTAATACCTGATTTCAACGCATACATGACATAGTCATGATCACTGTTTTGGTACCAAACCGGGGCCGTCAAATCCTTGGGAGTACCGCATGGCGCTATATCTTTCACCAAAGCGCAGTTTCCATTTCTGAATTAGATTTGGACTTGTTACTAATTTTTACCATTGTTTAGTGTATTGTTATCGGCTGACTCCGAGGAGCTCCTGCAGGCATGGCTGCAGGCACTGAATGAAACGTTGTCTGTTCTGAGAGGATAACTCTATTCATGTTCAAATCATTGCTGTCAATTTAGTTTATTGCAATCTCGGTGAATATAAAAGCTAACAAGTGGAAACTTTGCGTTCATTCTCTGTTTAATGTTGTTTTCCGGTGTTATTTACGAGTTCTGTTTTGCTAATAGACGATTTTTTTTGTCTTTCTTTTCCGGTGTATCACTCAATTACAACTGTTCAGAATTTTTTGATTCTTTTGTAACCGGATCATTCCATCTTCTGTAGCACAATGTTATTCAAGGTACTGTTCTGTTTGCGTTCATGTTGATTCTGAAGAATAATTTTGTCTGTAGCTAATTTCTGTCGTTTCTTTTGTGTAAAATCTTTGTTGTACTAAGTGCTATCGAAGATAGTGTATGTCATGCGTTCTTTTTTCTAGAGTAAATATTCAGAGTTAGTAAGATTGTGATAGTTTATTAACACTATTGGAACTAGCCAAGAAATATATCAAGAGCGAGTCCCTATAATACAGTAACTAAGGTCTCTTGATGAAAGGGCTAAAGTCGTTTGTCCCCATCAAAACAGTTAATCAAGTTGTGGGTTTCATTCCAACTTTTTTGATTTTCCGGCCTAAAAATCAAAAAAAAAATTTTTTTTGAAAGTTTTCGCTATATTCTTCCACTTTTCTCGAAAGTTTTCCCTTTCTGAAGGGAGGGGAAAAATTGGTACTTTTCCGTTATCCGGACCCATTTTTGCAAAGAAGGATACTGCATCTTTCCCTGCACCACATTTGTTCCCAACTTCAGAAAGTGTCAACCTTTTGCCACGTGTCAAAAAAATCTGGCATGCCACCTATATATAGTCCCTTCCACAGATCGTGCTACCCTTGGTCTGCGTCTCAGACCTGCCACGTGTGGCTAACATGTTGGCAGCGTGGCAACAACATGCTTGCAACATGCCCCAACATGTTGGCAGAATATTTTGGCCATGCCAACATGTTGCTGCATGTTGCCAACGTGTTGCTGCATGTTGCCAACGTGTTGCTGCCAACGTTGCCAATGTGTTAGTCACACGTGGCAAGTCCGCGACGCCACAAGGGTAGCACGATCTGTGGAGGGGACGATACATGTTTAACAAGTTTTACCAAGAGTTCGCGTTGCCCTACCTAGCGACATATGTCCAAGCTTTTTTGGTCAATAATGACCCTATTTTCGATTGAACAATTTCAAAAATGACATTGTTATAATAATAACGTTGCCCTCTTATCAATGAACGTACTAGACGTGCCCAGAATAGAGAAGTGCGCTAGGGTTCTATCACCTAAGCGGCGAAAAGCAGCAGCGAGGTACTACTTCAAGCGATCATTTGTAGACTTTTCTGGCTAAACTCGCATGGCGGAAAGTTTGAAGAGAAATACATTCTTGAATCATTGCTAGAAGCAATCAAGATATTTTAGTAATGTTTCTCGATTGTTTTGCTCTTATGTAAATCAGCTGGAGAGCTTCTAAGTGGTTACAAATGCTCTTTTACCTCACCGCCAATGATTTCGAAAAAACGTGTCAAAGTGGACTAGAACGTGTTAATTTTTTCCTCACACGTGGCAGGGAGGCAGTCCTCGTAGGATCTATGAAAATTTGTACTTGAACCACCGAACTTATTTTATTAGAGCTTTTTGGAAAAATGGGTGCGGATAACGGAAAAGTACCAAAAAAATTGACAAATTTTCTGCAAGTGGTGTGGTTTTAGCCACGTATTTAGAAAAACTGGGGTGCAGTATGCAAATTGAACCTAGTATCCCCTTTCCAAAAAATAAATTAGAATTGAATCTTCAATCACTTCCAAGGGAGATCACGTTATCGTCCGCCGTTCTAGGCAAAGTTTCCAATCTTCCTGCAGTGTCACTTTGTTCTTACATAATCCGATAATATCACCACCACTTTCATTACCCAAAATTGTCTTCGTATTCGCGAAAAATAGCGTGCATATAGGGCTCTGCATGATCACGAGAATCGGCGAGTTTGCGACCATTGCGCATCAGGATGCCACAAGGCCTCAAACCAGTTAAAAAGCCTCGAGCTTTTCAAAATCGCCTCCAGTAATCAAACGCAAATCTGATAGCAGAAAAACGTTTAGAAAAGCGTTTGAAAGAAGATATCGTGCATCACCCATAATTGTTCCCATATGAACCATCAACTTGGCTGCATTTCTATCCTTTCGACACGTCACTTCAGTAAATTAAAGCGCTTATTCGAAGCTCTCGTGATCACCCAGAGCCCTGACATTTACTAGTTCAGTCCTTACATCGACAAACGCGTCGCGGTCTTGGCGTCCGAAGAGGGAAAAGAAGCTTAGAGGGGAAAGGAAGCTCGTAGCCGCAGTACAGAGAACTCCAAAGCCCATGTAAGTAGAACAAATTTCATTCTCCTAGAGCAATCTTTAGAGCAAGAATGAGAGACAGACACCTTTCATTTTGTTTTGAACAAAGTACTGAAATTTAATATCTACGATCCTTCCGCCTGTGCAGCCTTCCGTTCAGTGTCAGCTGATCGTTGGTTCATGCATTTAGAGTGCTGCTGCAGCAACTTGCTAATTCTTTTGGTTTTTTGGCCACCAGACTATTGATTTGTTGACATTGTCATCGGGAACATGTGATTTATCAAAAGAAAAGGCCTTTGAGAAGAGAACCTTGAACAGTTTTGTTTGAGTGTAGGCTGAACTTTGTAAATGTGCTACGTTGCGAGCGTTTTGAATTTTTATCGCCTTCAAATGGAGCTGAAATTTCTCACGTCATCTTGCACAGTCATCATACTTTCGAAAACAGATGAGACTTGTCGTTTTTTGGATCCATCAGTTTCTCATCTAGATTTTAAATTACATTATAGCCTATTTACCTGCGCAAGCTTTGTAATTTTGCATGGGTCTGTATTATTTATGTTATTTACAAAAAAAATTATTGGTCAGATTACTGACCAACAGTTACGTCAACTTTTTAGGTAGTTAATCTTCTCCCAAAAATACCGTCGCTCAAGACATTGCGCAGAAGTCTGCGATCACGTAGGTTTTAATATAATGACAGATCTCTGTCTTGCCCATAATAGACTTCCTCCGGTTTCCAATTTACTCTAACTTATCCGTCCTCTTACCTCATTCTACTGTCCTAGAAAAGGATTGCTTAGTGTGGCTCTGCCTTTTCTAGAATTTTTCTTGCAGTAGGCAGCAAAAAAGTTTGAAATGATATTTCTCATTTGATAGTTTTGCGATAATGCACCCACATCAAAATATGTGGTCGTATCCACCATACCGATACTTTCAAGAAGTTTTCGGCACTTACATCCACGAATCCACTTGTGCGTGAAATATCTAGCTTATCGAAATTGTTGCTGTGCAACAGGCAAGCATGGATCGATGGAATGCATTTTTGCAAACACCTATGTTAATGCGTCCATTTCATATCCCATTCCACCGCAGCGGAAGTTTTTCTCACAATTTCTCTCTTTATGCGTTAATCGATTTTTGTACTGTTTGCGGATTCACAAGAGTTGTTGAGTTTCCTCGTGACTTGAGGCCTCATCATTAGTGTCACGAGTGCACTACTCTACTTTTTGTTATCGTTAGAACGTATGTGTGACGGTTTTCTCCATTTAACAAACTTGTTCAATGTCACTTGTTCCAGTTACGTCTTAGTGCATTTTCATGTGGTCATCGCGAAGTAAGAAATCTTACCAGGTCAGCATTTTTGATGTACTTTTCTTCTTTTGTTTTATTTTTTGCAAATGAAAAATGTACTTCTTCCGGGCATATATTTCTGAACAACGTTTGACTTTATTTTGTTTGTCGGAAATTTTTCGCATTTATGTTTTACTTTGCGAGACTGGAAATTTAGTTTAGAGGATTGATGACGATTACGAAGACGGTGATCAACGAGCAAGCGCCTGCAGCAGTATATTACCAATAATGCATACTGGACGAAACATACTATTCGGTGGTGGATCAGCACAATCAGAATCTGCTCCCTTGTACGTTTCCTCTGTATTCCATCTGCTTTTTTTGTTCGGCTTCTTCCATTCCGCGTGAGAGGAATAGTGAGGGTATACATTCAATTCGTGCATCTTGTTTTTGTCAGTAGTTTTAGGTTTTATAATTAATCATGCAAACGCGTAGTTCAACAAAGCCCGATATACGTCTAAAGTTAGTGGATTCAGTCAGAATTCAACAGGGGGCATGTGATGTCTAGTCTAAGAAAAGAGATTAAAAAAAGTGCTGTCACGCCCTGCGAAATGGGATATGGTTGATAAGAAGCCTTACAGCGTACATTATTGAGCTTGATGAGCTGTCAACACCACAGTAACGTGGGTCGAGAACTTTGATACCGACAAATTTTCATCGTGGTAAACCTATACCTGTTATAATCGAGTTTGCAGTGCAAGAACGTGATCAGATCTGCGTCAGAATGTTGTCGCGAGCATGACTTTTAACTGAGAAGCGAACTCTGATATGTGGCAAACATTTGGCAGGAGTTGTATTTGGAAATATTTTAAAGTCACTGCGTATATGGTGCATTCCATCAAGAAGTTTTTATGGAAATTTGAGATCGGAACAATTTTATAATCTCCTATATTTCAGAGCAAGCTTGTTGCAGCTATTACTTGCTCATCTTATGCGTTTGCACTTAACCGTACTTTACAGAATATCCGGATCGTCAACCCCCGCGGACCCATACAACCCACCGCCTTCAACCCATGTGGTCGGTTCTTCTCGGAACGATGAAGTGAATCCTACTCCCCCTTCTATGGCATCCTCCTCAAGACACAGCGACCGTCGATGGGATCATATCGATAATTTGGACAGGGTCAGTTTGCTCAAGATGTTTTCGTATTTTTGTTAATCATGGAGTGTATGACTTTTAGTTTTTCACACTTGTTTACGATTATCACCAAGGAGGAGGGTTTGTGACAATTGCTGTCAAGAAATTGCTCGGTTTAGCACAGTTTGTCTTCGTTGTGGTGAGTATGTCCTACTCGTAGTCTTTTTCATCTTTTTTCTCTTAATGTCTTTGTGCTTTTTTGCAAACATCTTTGATGTTCACTAAATCGCGTCTTCTTACTCTTTGATTCAGACGGTTTGGCGACTGGAAAGTGGGGCTTCGTGACCTGACCTAATTAAGGCTAGTCAATGATCAGAGAGCACGCTTGTGAGAAAGACGCAGACTGCGTAGCGGGCGTGAGTGGTTTTAGTTAGGTCACAAAGCCCCGCCTTCCAGCCGCAAGCCAGTTGAATCAAAGGTTACAGTTACACAGAACCTTTTTCTGCGATATGTAATTGTACTGACACTTGGTTTTGAAATGAAACCAGTCCAATATAGTGGTCATATAGCTCTTTCCTTCTTCATCTGAAGTACTGAATGTGGATTTTATCTCTTTTCTTAATGCAATAGTTAAGTTTGTTAGAATCAAATAAAGGTAACCTATGTTCTGCTCTCCGCACGTGTTTTGAATGCACCGAATTAGCATAGAGGTGATCTTATTGTTAGTTTAATTCTAATGTTGTTAGTGGGTGCGTCATCTCTTTTATCTTACAATGAATCGTTTTTCAGACGTTTTCTACGTTTTTCCTGCAGTGCATCGACTATGATGTACTCTTCGCCAACAAGAATGTTTCAACTACGGGTACAACACTTACGGGGAAACGAAGCTTTAATGTAAGTATGCTGGAATTTTTCAATTTGCTTTACACATTTTTTCACTTTTCTTTTCAAGTTTCTCCAGTTTTTTCTTTTTTTACCTTTTCTTTATAATCTTCTTTTTCAATTTTCTTCTTCTTTTTGTTTGACTAGAAGTCGCTTCAGTTTTTTCTCTTTGAATGCCAAGAAACCGAAAGTAATTGTTCACGTCTAGGATGCTGTTATCGAAAACTGTGCGGGTCATCTACATCCGCTAGTTATCCTCTCTTTACTTGTCGCACTGGTTTTCTGGATATCTCGTGTTATCAAAACGGCATACTATCTGTTGCAACTGCATGAGGTAAGCCAGTCGTTTTCCTCCCTTTTCTTCCCCATCTATACTTTTTTCCGTATTTTTATCATTGACCTTATCCTCCAGATACAATTGTTTTATCACTCTGCCTTACTTATCGAAGACGCTCAACTATCGAATCTCACGTGGCACGCGGTTGTGATGCGTATTTGTGAGGTTTGTCGCAAATGTGTAAAGGGTTTTTTTTATCGAATGACTTTACCTGACAGGTTCAAAAACGTCTTCAACTGATTGTCGATCGTGATCATGTGTCACCTATCGACTTGTATAATCGTATACTCAGGTTCAAAAATTATCTTGTCGCGTTGGTCAATAAGGTATGTTGTATCTTCGTAAGAGTTATATGCTCACGCTTCTTTTTCCAGCGAGTTTTGCCACCGGTAATCAACGTGCCTTTTGTTGGTCCTGTTCCATATTTTCCTAATGGACTCAAATCCAATCTACGGCGTATTTTATTTTTCGGGTGAGGTTGCGAACTCTGACCTTTTATTCATTCATGATTTCAAAAGCTTATAACGGTCGTCGTCACCATTTCTCGCTCTATATACTGTATGGATGGCTTTTTGTTATCTTTGACTCATGTGACGGTCACTTTCTATAATCGCGTGACATTTAGGTCAACATCACCTTGGGCTGGACCATACTTAAAAGAAGAGTACAAGGATCTTGATAACCTCGAAACGCTAACAAGGCAAATGGAAAAGGACGTAAGTGAATATTTCATCTATATGGTCGCTGCTGAGAATAGATTGTCTTGTTTCGTTCTATTTCTTCTCATTCTACGCAACATTTTGTTCTAAATTAGGGTTTTTACAGGTTGCTATGTACGGCTTCTTGAATCTTATGTTCTTCCCTTTGATATTTCTTTACCAAATTCTCTATTCATTTTTCACACTTTCTGAGCTTATCAAGAGGCGTCCGGATGCACTTGGTATACGAAGATATTCAAATTACGGCAGGTAGGAGTACTTTCTTTCTCGTTTTTTATGCTTCCTTGATTCCAGTTATTTGAGGTATCGAGTGAGACATTTCAATGAACTCACACATGAGCTAAACGCGCGACTGAATCGATCGCATGTTTATGCCAACGCTTATATGAACCAGTTTTACTCGACATTAACAGAAGTCTTTGCAAAGAATGTTGCTTTTGTTGCTGGAGCTATTGCTGGTGTGCTAGCTATACTTTCTGCTTGGGACGAGGATGTATTGCAGGTTAGTGAAAGTTGCTTTCTTCATTTAAATTCGTATCGGTGAACAATTTTTTTGGAATTGATAGTGAAGCACTAATATCTGAAGATTGTATTAAGTGTCCCGTACAAGTGTATTTAGATCGAACATGTTCTCACTGTAATTTCTGTCTGTGGAGTAATTATTGTGATATGTCATGGGATGATTCCCGATGAAAATCTTGTGTGGCAGCCTGAAGTGTTACTTGCTCATGTCACTAGCGAATTGAATTACGTACCAGCAGAATGGAAGGGTCAGGTTAGTCAGATGATTCCTTTTTGATAATTTGTCTCAAATTATGATGACTGCTTCACTTTTTTCTAAAACGCGTTTTTACGTGCCAAATTACCTTTGACTCTGTTATAAATTCTCCGAATTTTCAACATGATTTCCAATACTACATTTCTCAGTAAGTTTTTTGGGTCGAAATTCTTTCTGTATATTGCTTATCTCACATCTTCAACGAAGGTTGTTATGAAATATCACAGACGAAGCATCAACGAAACGTCAGAATTTCAACATATTGCATTTTGCATCAACTTTTACAGGCCCACACTGAGCAGGTGCGGCGAGAATTTGAGCAATTCTTCCAGCTGAAATGGATGTTTCTGCTGCAAGAACTGAGCAGCCCCATTCTGACGCCTTTCATACTTCTTTTCTGGTACTTTCTTGTTCATATGAAGATATCAGTCAATGTTCAAACTGCTTTTTCAAGGGTTCGCCCTAATTGTCGTGAACTTGTGCGTTTCTTCTATGAAAACACCATTCGAGTTGATGGACTCGGTGATGTTTGTTCATATGCGTTGATGGATGTAGCCAGGCATGGTGATGCAAAATGGAATGGTTCTATGACCAATCCCACTGCAGGTAGCTCTTCCGAGTATTTGTACTGTTTGAAGGTTTTTGTTGATTCAGCTCCTGCATTTGATGGAAAAACAGAGCTTTCGGTGCTTCATTTCGCTACCACCAATCCTGAATGGAATCCACCGCCAGCAAGTGCCCAATTCTTGCAGAGGTTCAGGAGCAGGGTGAGTTTTGTTTTCTTTGTTGCTTCTTTGATAGTGGACTGTTTTTTGTGTTCAGCTGGAACAAGATATTGCTTCTGCCGTTCATCCCGGCACACTTGGTGAAGAAGGGAACTTGCTGATGGAATCAGTGCATTCACTAGTGTCATCGGTCAGGCCGAAGCATCGGAATCCACTTTTGGGTAAGATACTTACATTTTGTCCGCATCCTTTGTTCGGCTAACTAGGTTAGCAATGAAGTATTTTTTGTCATAGCGAGAGACAATTATAAAAGCTTGCTAATAAATGTTTATCTATCTTGTGGATATCGAAAAACTGGTTTATCGTCCACCTGCAGTGAATAACAGCCAAATCTTTCTTCACAGGTCTATGTTATATGGTTTATAGCGTGCTTTATAGGTTTTCTTAGCATGCTTTTGTGAAAAAAAATTCAACCTCTATGAATGTTATTATACGATTTGCACTTATTGCGATAACAAGCATTTTTATATTGCGTAAATCATACATCAGAGCTCATTTGGTTTTTTCTAGGTGATGGGCTTCATCGTATGGACGGTCCCATTGGCTCTATAGGCGGAACGTTGTTGTCTACGCTAAATCAAGTGAACCCGCAAGCCGTAGACTCTTTGACGCGGAGCTTGCAGCAGAGCGGTGCGGCTTTCTTTTTAGTAAACGTTAATGCGATAACTGTTGTTTTTAGGCATCGACCTGGACTCTGTTGGAGCTGGAATGCGCATACAAACACTTTTCCTGAGGGGAATGCATGAAGAAAGTCTAAGACGGAGCAGTGCCACAGCTGCTGGTTACGGAGCGAGTATTGCTGTTAATCCTGCTCAAAGTATATTCGGTGTACCACAGCTTAGTCAGATGGACGGTCAGTTGGTTTTAGCTGATTTTTACTCGTTTTTTTTTCGTTATTTTTCGCGAATGGTAGTTTATTGAAGAGTCAACGCGAACTTGAAGACGAAAAACTGCTCATTGCCATTTGTCAAAGTCGATATCGTTGACCTTGACTTATTGTTCTATTCTCTGCTTGTAACAAAGTTTTTTTTGCACCAGTTTTGAATGGACCTCAAATGTTATAGAGAAAAAGTGCAGGAAAAAGTGCGAAAAGGCGTAGTATGTATTTGGTGGAGCTTTGCATCTTTTTTTTAGCGTCCAAACATCGCAGAGGTTTGCGGCATGTCATTTTGGTATAGTTCTAGCTAATTTTTCATCAGTCTGCATTACCAGCAAACAGCCATCACGTAATGAAAAATGCAGGCGAATTAAGAAGTTTTTGGGTGCTTTCGTCAAATTTTTGCTTATGTATCCGCGGAGAACTTTGATTTTTGAGAATATCCGGAGAGGAAAGAATTTTTGCAAATTTTTCTCATTCACAAAAAAGCGTTTTACATTGGAGAGAACGGCAACTTGGCAAGTCGTTCGGAAAAGATGTGGAAAGCTGTCTATGAAAACTGTTCATGGAATGCGAGTTATCTGGTGCTACGAATTTTTATAGATCTATACGTAATTTTTGCACTTCAGAATCTATGGCGCCTGAAAATGCTTCACATAGTCGTCTTATATTGCGACCAAACTTACCAGGAACAAATGAAGAATTCGAGGATGACGAACACAATCAAAATGGTGATAGTGACGACGACGAAGCCCCTCCTCACTTCATGAATGTGTAGTTTTGATTGCACAGAGAAGCTCTGGTGCTTATAGATTAGTTACAAATTATCCTGAAGGTAAAGGCTTGAAATTTTTGCATCAGTCTAGTCATTCCCTGGTTGAGATTGCGCATTTTTTGAACGATCGCTATCTTTAGTGCATTTTCGTATAATTTCTCTATAGAGTTCTCAGGAAGTAGCACCATCTGCTTCTCTTATGCGTATAGGATTTTCATAATTGTCCTCATTTTCCACACATGTTCTAAGCAGCTTTTTTTAATCTTTGCATGCTACTTGAAGGGGTATACAGTATTGTGCCTCGCTCTTACAGTTTGCATAATTTTCTTGCTTTCGTTGTCGCTACTTTTCCACTTTTTTCTCACAACGCTCAATTAGTTATATCTCACTGTCATTTCTCCCGTTCAGGGTGTTATACTTTGCCCGAAGCTTTCATTTGGTTAACTACATGAAAACTTTAGTTTCTTGATTTCCATTCCGTGCAAAGTATAGCTCTTATCGCTGAGAGTATCGCGTCCAAGAACTTTCAGGAAAGCTCTCGTTTCGTCTGTTGTTCGTGTTTTAGCCCGAAGTGAAACGTTTCATTGTCTAGTCTTTGCATATATGATTCTTCGTACTCACCGCCCGCAGCTGTCTCATTACCCTTTTCTGGTAGTTGTTTTAGGTTATCACTTGAATTTGCCTCATGTTGTACATAACGTTCTTCGAATAAAACATACATTGAAAACTTGTTCAGTGTGTCGGCTTTATAAGAGATTAATGAGTATCTTGTCGTGTTCCCGAACTCCGTGTCTTCACAAGTTTTGCAGATGTCTGTGGACGCCCCTAGAAGGACATTTCCGAAGAAGCCAAGCTCCTTTAATCTCAAGAAAAATGTCCACAAAACGAAGGCAAGGGTTTTATATGTTAGCTACATCGCCCTGTTTGTTTGACTATAGTATAGCATTGAAATACATTTGTAAAAAATTATATGCTTTATACTGAAGAGAAAATCCTAAGAAAATCCTGTGTTACAGGTGCGGGAAACAATGGTTGGTGGAACTGTCTTGACTCGGAAGCCTCAGCGTTATTTTGTGGTACTCAAAATCACTAGAGAAATTCCAATTTTATAAGTTTTTTTCAGGCTGATCTCTCTGAAAATGATGGCCTTGCTAGTAAAAAAAGGAAAAAGAAAGTGGCGGATGGTTTGAATAAAGCAAAAAATGGGTAATGATAGTTTCTGAGGTTCTGCTCTTCTTGCACAAAATGCAGTTTTAGAAAACCTGTCAAATTTGCTTCGAAAAAGAAAAAGAAGCTGAACCGCGGAGAACCAGTAAAAGGGACAAGCATCGACCATAAAATGCTCGGTGGCTCAGAAGATGAAATGTATGCGAGCGAAGATGACGTCGTGGATATCACAGACATGGTGGAGGACGAAGACGATACTGCTATGGTCTGTAAAGCGCAGTTTTGACATTCTTGACTGTATAAGTTTTTTTTTTGAAGTTAGAAGGGACTGACTTTGCATTTGACTGAGACATCTCAATTCTACGCTTCCAAATTCAATTCTATGAAATTGTAGTTTAGGTTCCTATGGCCCACGCAGTCAAACCTCCTACATCGTCAGCTGCAGAAGTATGTGATTTATCATCTTCTAAGATCTTATCGGTTTTCAAACTCTTGGAATTTTTTTGTGTCTTCAGGTCTATAATTCATCGTTATTCCTAATTATTGGATTCCCTTTTATTATTATACTTTTTATATTCTGATTCCTGCCCATGCTTCCAATTTTTTCTAGAAAAATCAAGATGATGAAATGTCAGACGAAGAAGAGGTTGTTGAATTTTCAACTGGACGAGGAAGTTCCAAGTTGAATCTAAGCAGCGATACAGATGATGATGTGGAAGCAGGACCATCTGGCAAAGTGAGCGGTATTTTTTGGAAATAGCTAATTTTTGCGATTTGCACACGAAAGATGCATAGACAAGGCTGATGCCTTTGTTTGCCATATGGTTCCAAATATGTAGCTATCATAGCGTATAAGAAAAGCTTGTTTGAAATTGGAACTTTACTTTTTAGAATGTAGAATTGGATAACAAAGAGCACCGTAGCAAGCATAGAGACAAAGTAATACCGCGGAATGGTATGGCGCACAAAAAGAGTGATATGAGGGAAATCGTTGAGATCGGGGAAGCTGACAATATTCGGAATGATGTGCAAGAGGAAGAAGAAGAAGAGGAAGCAGATGATCAGGAGGATGAAGGTGATGAAGATGAAGAAGCAGCCATTGCAAATTTCCGCGCAGGTACTCTTCTACTGAGTCTTGATGATAGCAGAATACAATTGCTAATCTGAATGCAGACTTGGCTGACTTACCCCTTGGTAAAGTACGAGAGATGAAGGAAAAACTCGGCTTGAAATTATTTAACAAAGCCTATTTTGGAGCAACTGAAGCCGCCAAAAAAGCCGAGGAAAGTAAAAAGAAGAAGCTCGAAGCCAAAAAAGCTGAGGTGACTGTTAAACATTCCATTTCTTATGTGATCAAAACCATTCCATTTAGTTCCATGGACAACATCGGCCTAAAGAAATTTCTTCGAAGAGGCCTGTATCAGTATTCCGACCTATTTATCAAGAAAATATCGGAAAAAAGTAAGCGATTTCTGCTTTGAGTGATGCATAAATTCTTTTTGATGATCACTGCAAATATTGCTATAACTTTGATTTTACATCTTTTAATGTAAATCACCGAACAAAGCACCGTTCACACGGTTTCAAGGATGGTGAGATTTTGGTGCGGTGCGCTAGCCATTCTCTTAAGTATTTGTTTAAGTACCGTTGGAAAAGGTGAACACAGAAGCGAGTGAATCGCTCCAGAAGGTAAAATCAGGGCTGGTGGCTCTGCCCATTAGCTCAATGGCGTGAAGATGATTAGTCCGAAAGTGGGCTTCGAAGTGATTAGAGATGTCGATTGACTGATTTTTTTTTTATGAAGGGCGGATACCCGGAAAATCTAGTCACATTTAAGCCTTTGATTTTGATTTTGGACTTATTATCTTCTTGTTACCTACGTTGTGGGCGGGGTCACTAGTGCCTTATCTGGAGCGATTGTCTCGCTTCAGTATTTTTTTTGCAGCGGACTTGGGCCATGTTTAGGGGTCTCCTATTTGTACCGCACTTAATTTTTCACCGTGCTAAATTCTGGGTGTACGGTGCCTTTGGTAAGCGATATTATTTTTATCGCATCGAATGTTTCGAAAGCAATGTTAAAAAATTTTTGTTCCAGTACTTGAAAAGAGCAGATAATTTAGATTAATTAACTACTATCCTTGCGTTTCGATTTTTTTTGCTTGATATACGGAGTTTGCTTTTGTAGGTCTTTTCCACAGTTTGCAATACAAGGCTTTTTCTTCTACTATGTTGAGTAGTCTTATCATTATGCACTGAAAAAAAAAACCAAAGAGAAAATTCTCGACAAGGAGCAGATTGTAATTCCAGGAAACGCGATCCACGGTTCGATAGTAGGGCTGGATTGTTCAAAGAAAGATGCTTTGACGACAACTACCGTTTTCTTGAGGATTTAAAAAGGCAGGAGAAAGAGGCACGCATTGGCTTATTTGCAGATAAAAACCTTGCCTCAATGTCCTCCTTTCGTTTGGCAATATTCTATATTCATTTAGGAATTATCTAAAGAGGCTGTTGCTTGCGAAGAACGAGGGGATTCGGAAACTGCCGAGAAGATTCGTGAGGTAGAATTTTCAAACGAGTTAGCTTATCGTTAGTTTTCTTGAATGAAACCATTAACTTAAGACCATACGTCGCATGGAAAATCGTGAAAGAACAAAGGCCGAGCGTAAAATGAAAGAGGAGACTTTACGGGAACTCAGAGAAGCAAATATCGAGAGGATGATGCATGGAGAACGACCTGTCTTCAAGACGAAAGGTTCATTTGCGGTGTTTTGTGAACTGTGCTTCGATATCGATATCTGTTCAGCACAAGTTAAAATGATGAATCTGGAGAAGAAATTCAAGCAGTTGAAGAAGGACAATAAGTTGGATAAATACATGAAGAGAAAGGCCAAGAAAGAAGCACATAAAGACATGAAGAAGAAGCCTTCGTTTGAGGAAATGTACGGCTACCAATGAGATTAATGTCCTGAAATGCCATTTCTATGGTCTTTACTATTTGATCGGAGACTGAAATTGATAATTTTAGTGACCGACTAAGAATTTTATTTTTCTGTCAATGCTAAGGTTTTGCGGTTTTATATTTGTTACCTTTGACCTCTTTTTACTCTGATTAGTAAAGCCCACCAAAAACCCCTTAGTGAATTTTGTATTTATTTGTTTCATGCCCTTAGATTCAAAACTTGTTGTTGCTGTTGTTCTCTTCTGCTCTTGTTGACTATGTTTCAGAGCGATGTTGTTATCTGTATGCAGAAATATTTATTTATTTTTCATTTGAATACGTCACAGGTGCGCCATAATGTCGGGTTGGTAACTAACAGATTCTTAAAAAAATCAGTATTAGAAATGCAGAAACACAGAAATAAAAAAGAAAATTGAGATTGCTTTTTTGAGACCATTCGCCAGTCCAGGTCCACAATCTAACAAATGATAAAACACAAGGTCTAACTATTAGAAGCGCTGCCACAAAGATTACTTAAAGGCAGCGTCCAGGCAGATCTGGACCTATGGGGCCTTTACGTGGTTGGGGCCCTAACTAAGGCACTGCCCAAGCGGCAGCTCAGGTAGTGCTGTAATTGCTGAGATATTCCCCTCGAAACTGGACCCCGCGACCGTGTTTCGCATGGATTCATGGCGCAAAGCGTGGATCCTGGCGCGAACCTGCCATGAATCCATGCGAATACGTTCGCGGGGGTCTGTTTCGAGGGCAATATCTCCGCCATTAGAGCACTACCTGAGCTGCTGCTTCGGCAGTGCCTTAGTTAGGGCCCCAAAAGTACTTTCCACGTAAAAGCCCCATAGGTCCAGATCTGCCTGGACGCTGCCTTTAAGATACTTCTTTGTGAGTTTGATTCTAGCAGGGAAGGTCAATTTACCATGTAATGAGAATAAAAAACTGCGCATGTACCGTTCTTAGTTTTTTTTTGAATTTCCCTCTACCCAGGGGAGAGGCTCTTTTGCGAAGTATAAAGGAAAATTGAGATCATCCTATTGATAATCACATGCACTGCGTCGAAAATCGCATTACTTTTACGCTAGACTTGATTGAGACATGTGCTTACAATCATTGCTGTTACTTTGCGTCCTCTGACATTTAATATATAAAGAAACGCAATTCCAAACTGTGCAAATAGCGGGAAACCGCGTGGCGGTCCTGAAGCGCGCGGATGCAACGTAGTACCTTTAATTACTGGTTCACTAGTCTGTAGTAAAAGTACTGGAATTAAAGTCGGCTGCTCGAAATCGCCCATATCGCTGTAAGTTGAACACACGCGAGCGTGCCTGCAACGCGGCTGCCGAGTGCGGGCGTTATGATGATTCATGCGCGCGTGCCATTGATAGCCCGCGAGAGACATGCGTTCAGCCTGGGCGATTCCGTGCAGTCAACTTCATCTGAAGATGTACTGGTTACGAGAAACGCAGACCATTGGAGCAATGATGTTAGTTGGAAGGAAGTTGTTTTGTATCATCTTGTATCATCTCAAAAACTCAAAGCCTGTTCCAAATCGTTTTATGTTATAATTATTGATTTTATTATAGGGAAGAGATCGTGTTCTTTATGAAAGCACCTCACAAGGGAAGGATACTCGGTCGAAGTGGCCATTTGGAATGAGCTGTATATTAGGAAACCGTCCTCCGTAAGGCAAACTCAAAACTACTTTCGCTAGGTGCCGAGCGGTTTTGTGGGGGGAGTTACAAGGCCATTTTCCTCCGGCGCAGCTGGTGCACCCAATGATGAGCGAGGCGCTAGAATAACGCACCTGTGTGGCAGTGGCGCAGTGGCAACGCAGCGGACTACGAAGCAGATGGTCGAGGGTTCGAGTCCTGTTGCTGCTATTTTGTTTTGCAGCTTTGTAAAAAGTCTATTGGGTGACAGCAAACGAGAAATACTATTTCTAGGCAGTCGAAACAAGCTATTTACTGCAAAAAAGTCACTATTTCTACAATAAGCCACAATCTTTTACAATATGTAAATCTGTGGAGGTTATGATGTCACAACAATGGGTTCAAATGATATATTAACATGTATGGAATGCAACCATAAAATGCTCAAAGCAGAAGAGCTTCTCGCAACGCGCGCACTTGCAAAATTGCAATCGATTCACATCCCATTTATTGGCTCTTAATCTAAACTTTACCTTGCATCATAGGGATTCCATCCTTAAGATCTTATCGCTCATTTACACACAATTTTGCTCGCAACGATTCAAAAATTTGCTTTCATACCCATGGATGCAGCCGGATACATTAACAACCACCCCGGCGAATTCGAGTCTCCTATTCAGTACTGTTTTTCACCGACTATAGGCAATTGTAAAGCTGCTGATTGTCATCGCTTTATTTTATCCGATGTGCGCGCTGCGAGAAGCTCTTCTACTTTGAGCATTTTGTGGTTGTATTCCATACATGTTAATATATCACTTGAATCCCTTGTTGTGACATCATAAACTCCACAGATTTACATATTTTAGAAGATTATAGCTTATTGCAGAAATAGTGGGTTTTTTGCAGTAACCAGCTTGTTTCGACTGCCTAGAAATAGTATTTCTCGTTTGCTGTCACCCAATAGACTTTTTACAGAGCTGCAAAACAAAATAGCAGCAACAAGACTTGAACCCTCGACCCTCTGCTTCGTAGTCCGCTGCGTTGCCACTGCGCCACTGCCACACTGCTACCTTGTTCTAGCGCCTCGCTCATCACTGGTGCACCAGCTGCGCCGGAGGAAAATGGCCTTGTAACTCCCCCCACAAAACCGCTCGGCACCTAGCGAAAGTAGTTTTGAGTTTGCCTTACGGAGGACGGTTTCCTAATATACAGCTCATTCCAAATGGCCACTTCGACCGTGTATCCTTCCCTTGTCAGTAACTTTCGAACTCGCATTGCTGCTCGCATAGAATTGGTAGACCGAAATTAGTCAAAATTGTTTTTTCTATGCTTGGTATTGAAAAATCGAGTTTTTCATCTTTCTAGATATGCAATATGTGCATGACAGAGGACGGCCTGTCAGGTACAAGGGCTGAAGGCTCTTTGCCTGGGTGTAACGGTACGAAGTAGCAATAGACTTGATCATAAATATGTTTATTAAGATACATATAGACGATTCGTTGCACGCAAAGACTGCGGACCTATCGGCGTCTTCCTGATCAAGCGCTCTTTCGTTTCTCTTACCACCTGCTGTCTCTCCTAAGCACAGCTATCTTGGTCAGACGCAACGGCGCCCAGTCTTTGCGTGTTTTGAATCACCGATATATGGTTGATGCATAAGGGAGGGGGATGAGAGGAAGCGGGGCGAGCCGCTCGGCTTCGGTGCTCCCACCTTCACTGAGCCTCAGGCGATGGCTGTGCTTCCAGCCGGCAGCTGGCACCGGGCTGGATTATACTCGACAGCCTGAGCATACTTCATGAATTTCAGTCGCGACACGATGCAGCAGTACTCTAGTGGTTTATAACTCATCTAAGCTCATTCTGAAGTACGCAGCGCATTGAATCAATCTGCGAAAGTTAGGCACATTATGCATCTTTACTTGCAAGTGTTCACTCGAAGACGTAGGAAATTTCCAGATCGCGTCGTTGACTGAAATCGTATGAAGTACGCTCGATTGAATATAGCATACACTCAAATCTTCATCCGCCATGTTTTTGTCATTCTGCGGCCTTTTCGTGCCCTTCTTATAGATATGAAGTGCAAAATGTGCAGAACTCCAGAAAATCCGACTCCTGGGAACTTTGTCCTGGATGCACTGACTTTTTTGGTAGCTAGGTGGGCCTAGCTCAATAGGGCATGCGTTTCTTGATAGCACTTCCGCGGGCTCCATCTCCATTCCTTTATTCAGAAGCCATTCTAGAGGACCGTAAAACGTAGATTTCTTACACACATGGCCTTCGTGTAAACTGCGTGTCAATTGGGAGAGTATAGATTTTGCCTTGATGCAACCTTCAAGACGCTTTTACAAACGATCACATAATCTTGTTTTCAGACATCAAAATGTAATGGTTTAGACGGAAGGGAACGACAGAACTCTAGTTCCCTAACATTTAACCTTCCTTTTGAGCTCCTTTCCAACTACGAATTTTTTGTTTTGAGTTCCTTGCATCTTTAGGTCGGCATACTTGCAGAATGCGCGGTGTTGGGATCTATCATGATATTCTCTTGCTCCATATACTTGAAAAAACTAGTACGTTATGGTGCGTCTGATATATTGACTGCACGGCCGCCTAGGTTGAACCGCGCGAGCGTGTCTCTTGCGGGCTAACAATGGCATTCGGCGCATGAGTAATCATAGCGCCAGTACTCGACAGCCGCGTTGCAGGCACGCTCGCGTGCGTTTAGCTTACAGCGATATGGGCGAGTTTGTGCAGTCGACTTTACTGCTGTCATTCCCGTAATACCCCCCCCCCCCCCTAAAATCAATATCAACCGTTTACAGACTATTCCTGAGCGTAGCTATTTAGGAAGGATGATAGTTCTGAAACAAAGGCGTCTGCCTCGCTGAATAAGTGTTCCGTCAATCAATGTGATGCAACCTTAATTTGGGTTGTCTCACTACAAAATGAAGAGGCTTATTTTGTGGGTAAACAATTTTAAACGGTGAAACAGTTGTAATCATGGTAGTGTTTAGTGCTCATTTCGGCTGTATCCTCGGTGCTCTTCATGCGTATACTCTCCAAGTTGGTACATTGTTCGAATATTGTTAGAAATTACAATATTTCCATTCTAGGTACCACGTAAATAATCACCCGCTTCGAACATGTGTCTAAAATTCACAACTTTTCGAAGCAAACTGAAATCTCTCACTTGCGTGAGTTTTCCGTCGTAATTTTTCGGTTGGCAGACGGAGATTCAGAAATTATTTCCTCTTTTCCTCTCCTCCCCTCCCCCTTCGTCGCTTCTCGCAGAAAAGGACTAAGATTTTAGCGGCTTATGAGGATTACGTTTACGGTGTAAAACAATGAGCGTCAGACAATGTCGTTTCTCCATCCCCCTCCCCCCTCCGTTTTTCTACGTCCTTATATTGTTCAGAGTACGGAAGTATGGAGCGTTCCATATTTGAATTTCGAATGTGGAGTCCGTGAGCGGGCAGCGCACAGTGCGGGATTCAGAGAAAATGCAAACATACTCAGTGGGCCTTCAAAAGAGAGCTCGTACAAATTTTGACTTCTAGCTATTTTCCTAGTCTTATCCACTACGAGTTCCTCAGTCCACTATAGAACACAGCAGAGGCGAGAACGGGCCTTGCTTGAAGCCTTTCTTTCGAAACGGTTCTCATACCTACCTGTAAGCTATCTTCAATGCTTGCATAATAATGATCCTGAAACTAACTCCCTGCTATGTTCACCATCAAATGTAAATAACTACTCATTCGAATCGCTCTGCTTATAAGATCGGTTACTAATCGAGACACTTTTTTGCAGAAGAACAAATTCGACAAAATGATGAGAAGACTAGGTGCTGCTGAAAAGGGTGGTCCACCCCGGACATCTGCGAAGGACCATGCAGCCGTATATATATATTACACATATCACATGTACCACTATGTGCGTAAGGTGAAGCTCATCGGCAACATATAGTCCGCTACCTTGATTTAGTCAGCTAATGAATCTATGGCCACATAAGTCACATCCAGGGTCAAGCGGAGGTATGGCATGCCGCTCCTGAGGGTCGTGTTGGGGGGGGGGGGAGGGGTTAGGGGGGGGGGGGGGAAGGGGATCGTTACGGAGATGATTCTGATGTAGGCGATAGCATGCTATTTGTTAACAATGTCAGATAGGCCCATCAAAGTACTGGCACAGTGATATTCTGAGCTACAATCGACATAGAGTAAGGATAATAAAAAAGCAAGAGCATCATCTTTGCGATTACATGAGAAGTGATCCCTGTAAGCCAAATACCAGCGAATTCTGAGGTTTCCAAAAAATTAGGCCACATTGAATAAAAGGGTCGTTTCAAACATGCTACCTTTGTTTCACAAATGAGTTAACTATTTCTTTTTGCACTTAATACAGATCACCACTACTTCCTTGCTCACATCAAAAATCTCACCTCAAATAGCCATTGAAGTAAGGAATCAAGAGCAAGGCAAAATCTCGTTTGTTCCATTTTGTGAAACTTACGAGGGCTGTCGAATATACTCATTTCGCCTTCTTTCGCAGTCACGTAGCAACACAAATTTAGCACGTTACCGGAACTTGAAAATTTTGCAGTGTTTTCCATTTGCATAGCTAAGAAGGACAAATACTCGGTGTCCTTGGACTTCCGAGACGAGATGTACACCATTACACTCGTCTTGGAGCGATGATTCCGATTTTGACTTCCGTTTTTGTTAATCGTTTCTCTGAAAAAAGTTATGATGAAATTTCTCGCCAAGGGAAATATGTTCGGAATGCCAAAATCTCTGTTACGATGTGACGTAATGACTGGTGCGATAGCCTCACAAGTTAAAGGCACCGACCACCCAAAATGGAGATTGGCGAGATTATGATGACATACTAGTGTGGGCCCCCATACTAGGCAAACCACCAAGCTTCGCCGCAAAAGACTGCTTCTGGAACGAGAAATCCGCTCCGGAAGTAGCAAAGTAGGCGGGGCGACCATGGTCGCCCCGCCCACTTGCATGCTTTATCTCGCCTGCGCTTGTTGCAGAGAGTTCTCGAAACAGGGATCTTTGGAGGTTTCGGGGATTCTCGAGTCCATATTCGAATCAGGGCTTTCAGAAGTCCTGAAGGCGACAAAAACATTGAATTCGAGATTTTGGGTGGACGGTGCCTTTAATGCAGGTTTATGGGGAGACGTCTTTTCGCACGGGCGGTCTCCAGCGTTACCTTGATTTTGACTTGTCTCAACATGTAATGCACGCCGCAAAACTTTCCTTCCCCTCTTTTGCTTAGGCTAAAGCCGCCGCATGTCGCGCGCGGCGGTGGTCCTGTGTGGAAAGCACGGTAGTGCGAATCGTCCTACACCCAGGTTTATGTTCTAGTCCTTTTGTGTTTTTTAGTTTTGCATTGCCTAAAAATCAAGCTTCTTTTTAGTTAGGCATCCTCATACCGTATCCAGGGCGACTATTGACGCGAAAATCCCTCACAACCTCTTTCAGAGAAACGATTGGAAGACACGAAAGCCAGATTCGGAATTAGCGTTCCAAGATGATGTGACGGTATACGTTTTATCTCAAAAGGCCACATACATACACCGAGTATCGTTCCCTTATAAGCAAAAGCGACTATATCTTTCCATAGAAACAACGATTTTAAGTGTAATTTTCAATGTGCAAAGAAGAAGGCTAAGCAATAGCAACGATATAAAAATTGTGGATATCTAGATGGTCTGCAGGTAAGTTAATGGCGTGTGGCATGACCCCTAAAAGGTGTGGCAGCCACAGCTTTTCTGGGGTTGTGCCACACCCCCATCAACTTACTTCCAAAAGGATTTTAGGCAACAAGTTATATAAAGTTCGACAGCAAAAATCTTAGTTTTTGCAGAAGTGATTAGAGCTAAATTCGTTTTGTTTGAGCAATAGTTCCTGGAAGCACAACCAATGTAAGTGAAAAATGGGACAAACAGATGGCTGGCTCCCAATTTTATAGTTCGATGGTTTTTCAAAGCAGATTCTTAATGTGGGCAAATAGCGAGTACTTTTCGTATTGAGTAGTCAAAAGTGTAGCTAATTCACCTTTGAAATATGTTGAACATGTTTGAGCTAATTCCAACATAGTTAACCATGTTTGAAAATGGCCACTTCCTTGGGTGATCCAATATGGAGAACCCTCAAAATGCGCTAAAACTTGGCTCACAGGGGTTATTGACATGATGATTGAGATTATGTTACTAACTATGCTAGGTAGAGCCTCTCTATGTCATGCCTACGGTAGGCGAACGAAAATGCTAAAGGGGTGGGGGCATCCAGACAGAAGTTACATAGGAGGGGGAGGGGGTCGTATCCGGCGGTTGCGTGCCACACGTCTTGCTCGACCCTGCTTACATCGCAGTTAAATTACAAAAGTTTCCTCCATTCGTATGAGAGCTTGACAAATCAACATTCTACGATACATTCCTTTTGACTCCGTTATATAACAAACCAGTGCGTCACCTCTGCTTCGCAGAGGCTCGCACTGGCCCTATTTTCTGTATGCCTTACTCATTCCCGCATAATAATGACATTGAAACTCACCGCGCTATGTAGGCTATCACGAATAATTCGTAAGCAACTACTCATTCGTAGAAGTTTTCCATGTGAGATCGGAATTTTCGCGTGGATAAAATCTTTCCCAGAAGAACAGATGCAAATTCGAATAGGTTTTTGGGATTTTTATGGCCTGGTAGTTGCCGTAAGGAACAACATAGTGGGCTACATCTCTGTGCAAAAATCTTCTCAAATGAATCAGGTAAAATCTTAAAAAATTGACCGTTTACACAGCGAATGCTTTTTGGCGTTGTTTTCGTAAAGTAGTAGACTTTTCATTACTTTTTTAAGCTAACGTTCATGGCTTGCACATTAGCTTGTCAAATATATCCTTAGCTCTGCAAAAAGAAGTACTACGGACCCAAATTTGCTGGCCAGAAGCCAAGTAGATCCGTTTGACGCGCAGTTTTCAATGGATCCACTCAACGGATCCGCTCATACTTTTGTGTAGTGAGCTTTCATGCTGGAAGCGTGCGCTATGCAAAATTTGGGCTCAGGACGTTGGGAACACGCTCTACGAATTCCGTGACAGACAGAGATTCACACACACACACACACACACACACACACGCACACACACACACACACACACACACACACACACACACACACACACACACACACACACACACACACACACACACACACACACACACACACACACACACACACACACACACACACACACACACACACACACACACACACACACACACACACGCGCGCGCGCGCACACACACACGCACACACACACACGCACACACACACGCACACACACACACGCACACACACACACGCACACACACACACACACGCACACAGACAAACGTAAACAACGCTTAGCCCGATATTATAAGTTATGAATATATGATCAAAGCTTAACTAAAATCCAGGGGTTGCAAATTTACTTGTCAAACAAATCATTACTTTGCAAAAGGTAGTCACATACCGCATTTTGTCGTTCAAAAGTCATATGGACACGCAGATATGCGATTATGGAAAAAACCCGTATTGGGCTCACTCGTCCTATGGCGACTCGGTGGACTCATGGCACCTACATATTGACCGGGGCCTGGTGCTCGCCCAGTAGTGAATGACGAGCCTACCTTACTGCGTACTAACGTGCGACCGAAATAGCACGAGACAAATCTAATTATTTATCTCAATGCCGTCACACTAAAGAAAGGGACAAAACCCTGAACTGAAACAAATCACTACTCCTAATAAACAGGGGGTGAGGGCCATGCTACCGATCTTCCGTGTAGGCAGGTGCCAGACTTAACCGGTCCATTTAGTAATTTGACCAGTAGCGAAAGGGTGGACCTGATGGACCCGCTGAACCAGGTAGATCTGGCATCTAACATATTAATCTCATTCCATGTAACTCCGATGAGTCACGCAACAAATCCATCGCGCAACTGCAAGTTCCAGATGACGGCACGTCCTCCCTCACTTCTGTAAAATTTACAATTCCAATTTAACATTCGATTCCGGTCAGTTTTGCTAGGGCGCGACCACAATCCACCAACTACAATAGTAAAATCCATCCCTCAGTCCAAGAGACATCCGACCCAACCGCTCTTCCAGAAAAGGACGGGAAACATTGCTGAAATGCATTTCGAGAACTAACATCATGACTTATAATAAGCGGCTAAGGATGTTTACGTCTTTTTGTCTGTGTGTGTGTGTGTCTGTCTGTCCGTTACGAAATTCGTAGAGCGTGTTCCAGCTAACATCCTGAGCCCAAATTTTGCATAGCGCACGCTACCAGCATGAAAGCCCACTGTACAAAAGCATGAGCGGATCCGTTGAGTGGATCCGTTGAAAACTGCGCGTTAAACGGATCCACATGGCTTCTGGCCAGCAAACTTGGGTCCGTAGTGCTACTTTTTGCAGAGTTATGTATATATTTGACAACTTAATGTGCAAGCCATGGACGTTAGCATAAAAAAAGTGATGAAAAGTCTACTACTTTGCGAAAACAGCGCCAAAAAGCGTTGGCTGAGTAAACGGTCACTTTTCGAAGATTTTACCTGATCATTTGAAAAGATTTTTGCACAAAGATGTAGCCCACGATGTTTATTGTCCTTATGGCGACTACGAAGCCATAAAAATTCCAAAAACCTATTTAAATTTACATCTGTTCCTCTGGAAAAGATTTCATCCACGCGAAAATACCGATCTCACACGAAAAACCTCTAGGAATGAGTAGTTGTTTACGAGTTATTCGTAACCAACCAGTAGTTATTCGTCACCTCTGCTTCGCAGAGGCTCGCACTGGTCCTACTATCTGTACGCTTTACTCATTCCCGCACAATAGTGACATTGAGACTCACCGCGCTATGCGGACTATCACGAATGACTTGTAAACAACTATTCATTCCGAAAGCTTTTTCGTATGAGATCGGTAATTTCGCATGAACGAAACTTTTGCCATAAGAACAAATGCAGATTTGAATCGGTTTTTGGACTTTTCACAGCTTGGTATTCGCCATAAGATGCAATAACCAACGTGGGCCACATCTCTGTGCAAAAATCTTCTCAAATGATCGGGTGAAACCTTGGCAAATTGAACATTTACGCAACCTATACATTTTTGCGCCTTTTCGCGAAGTAATGAACTTTGGTTCAATTTTTTAGGCTAAAGTCCATGGCTTGCATACTAACTTGTGAAACTATCCTTGATTTTGCAAAAAGTCGTGCTACACGCTCAATTTTACTGGCCAAAAGCCAAGTGGATCCGTTAGAGGCGCATTTTTTGAGGGATCCACGCAACGGATCCGCTCGTGCTTTTGTATAGTGGAATCCCATGCAGGTAGCATGTGCTGTGCAAAATTTGGGCTCAGGAGGTTGGCTGGAACACGCCCTACGAATTTCGTGACAGACAGACAGACTTACACACACACACACGCACACACAAAAACACGTAAACAACTTAGCCCGTTATTATAAGTTATGATAGCTTACACAGCGCGGTGAGTTTCAATGTATATACGTGCGGAAATGAGTAAGGCATAGATAAGGTAGGGCCAATGCGAGCCTCTGCGAAGCAGAGGTGACGCACTGGTACATTGATAAAGAGAGTTAAACAAGCGCTAAACTCAGGCACTGCCGCTTTATGTAGCCGCCGAGCTGGCAACGAGCCAGCAAAAAAGAGGTTCATAGGCGATTGCGGCAACACGCGTCAGGCTATCGTAATCGTCGCCAGATAACGCGGCAACTGATCTGTAGCCCGTTTCGCATCCATATGCAACACTTCCAGTAAAGGCAGTCTTTATTACATACGACCTGGCATCCCGGGTTCCACCCGTTCTGGAGCCAGTCCATTCGTGCTTGATCTCTTATGTAACGAAAATGTACCCCTCTTTTGATTTGAATCGTCTTGGGTTCGCTTCCTACTATTACCATATCTTGATGGCCAGCAATCAAAGTGAGCTTCACCGCTCATCCTTCATGATTATGGGAAGTGCGCACAGACACACAAACACAGATTTTTCTGTTTCATATATATAGATAGATTTCACAGAGGCGGCACTGCTGCGCCACGCTCTGCTGCCGACAGCAAACCTTGTCATGGGCCAAGCACGTTGCACAGTCTTTCCCGATCAGGATCAGATCAAATTTCGAGTGTTGCCCAATCCGCATTGCCACAGTTCTGCGACACTAATATGTCTTGGTTCTCTCTCTCTCTCTCTCTCTCTCTCTCTCCCTTTCTCTCTCTCATTCTCTTCGCCTTTTCAACAGTGCTCATATACTACGCGAACCGCTTGCGCTGCGAGCGACCTTACGCCAACTTGCAACTTGACTCCGTTGGAAGAGATTGCAAAAAGTGGTGGTAACGTGGTATAAAAAATTTGCGACATTCCGTTTCCAGCATTCCTCGAGAAGTCAGTCGCCGTCCTGTCTACAGGACGAGGTACATTGTCCACATTTACTAAACATTCATGCATAAAGTGATCTTCCAGGATGTAAAAGAAGAATCAACACAATGCGAAAGTGTTAGTGTTAGAGAGGTGAGTTTATCCAGAGTGTTAAACATTGCAAGGACTGACTCAGCAATCATTTAGACAGCGTCTAGAGAAGCTTTTGCTTTCTTCACGCTCAATATCGATCGTGAAATATTAAGTCAGTAACAAGATCGTGACTTTGTCAAAATTCCCTAAAGAAACTCGTTTTACGAAGTCTTAGAAAAAGCACTTCTAAGAACCTGCGATTTTCCTGGTTGATACCTCGGGATAGCAAATAGACTACTCCAAAACGATAATATATTGTTGAACAAAAAAATGCCCGAATAATCGAAATCTTTCGTTCCTCTTCCTCAGCTCGATTACCTTGCATATATGTTAGCAGCCCTTTCAAACAAATTTTGAGGCTAAAGTTAAATCTAAAAGCATGCATTAACGTTCCTGAAGGGGAGGGGATTGCAGCTATGAAGGAAGCTTCATATGGTGCTCCACACTTTTGGGTCTCGCGCTGTCTACCTATCCGTAAGTGCAGAGCGTTCAAATACGAGAAAGTTATTGAGTTTTGACGAAATATTTTCTTTAAGGGTAGCATGATGGCACGGATTTACAGTGGCTGGCTATTGTCAATTTATTGTCAATTTAACTGCGGGGAAGAAGCATATTCTTTAGGGACCTGAATAAGTGTTTTTTAAACGTGTTTCGTTGGACATTCGCCTCAGAACACTTGGCAGATCGCACATTTAAACGTTCGTAACTCTTTCCAGGCAGTCGCTTGGCAAATATTAAACATTTTGTAATCAGCGTTTCAAGGCGAAACCGATGGTATATACCAGTTTCGCAAGTCTGGGTCAAGTTCTGACCATTCCATGCTTGCACGTTGGGTTAATAATCAGTACAACTTTGGAAATCGTTTGCTTTGAAAAAAAGAATAATGACTTTGAAGACTAGGATTAGGGGAGCATACAAAAAGCTGGAAAATGCGGCTTGTACAGCTTCTCACTCCGGTTCAATATTGTAGGTAAAGGATGGCAGAAATACTTAAGGATAGATTGACAGCGTGTAATCCGGACAAATAGAGCTTCAAGATTTGAAGCTTTCTTTTAAGCTGCGATCCCCTCCCCAGCGGGGATGTTGGTGCATGCGGCTTTAAGGGAAGTGAATTTTGATGAAACTGTCTCCATTTACGCTCAAAACAAAGTAGATAATCATCTTCCATTTTTAGCAAACTTGCAGGTTTGTTAGACCTTTTGATTTCATACTGTATGTGCAGGTTCTCAAGGAGCATGGCAGGGCCTCAAACACGGCAATGTCTATCAAAATCAAAAAAGACGAGGAAATTAGGAAATCAGAATCTGAACGGGAGAGAAGGAAAAGTAGGTTTTCTTTGAATTTTAATTGGTCTTTGAATAGCCTGAGAAGATGCGTTGCATGCAAGTCCGTCTATTTAGTCTATACCCTTTTTACGCGCGTTCTTCATCTAAATTCTTTTTGGAGCGCGATCGCGATTACTGGATAAATCGGAAATTTCCACATTTAATTTTTAGGATGACATTTCCATATTTAGTTTTTAGGATGACTTCAAAAATTATTGTAAAGAGAATAAATCAAATGGATACAGATTGCAAACAGCACAATCAACTTTGCACAGAAAGGATGCGATGGCCGACTGTTAATGCTTGATGGAAGCTCGCGCATAGTTTAGACCACTGGCAAGTAACTGTACCTGACTGCAAAGTCTTATAAGGAAACCCTGCTGTCGAAACAGTAAAAAACGTGGTTAGGCTTGTGTGATTAAGACACTATTTTCAAACCTGCTGCCTTATTTGTCCTTGTCCATTTGAGAATTTGTTCAAAATAGCGAGGAGATGCAACAGCGTTTGAGGGACCGTCCAAAAATTAGATGTGAAATTAATGTGGTACAATAGCAGACCCTAAGTAAGTAGTTGCTCATGTCTTTTCACAAAATTTGAATACAAAGCGAGAAAGTTGCTCCAAAAGTTAATGCTGACTTGTTCGTCCCGCCCTATCAACGTAAGCGGTATGGGTGATGTACTGAAATTAAGTTCCAAGTAAATCGATATCCGCCTTTCATCCCCGGGAATAACTTTTCTATTTCTCACAAACTTGAGCTCAATCTATCGGACTGTCCAAAAATGTTTGCAACTTGCGGTCTCCAAGTTGCATAAGTGATGAAGTGACTGGTCTTTTCAATGGAGTATGTAATTGCTTATGCCTAGTTGTGAGCTGTGGATTCTGGAATGCGTTCCCCTCGTCGTTGCGTATTCCGTAGTGTGGTTTCTGGGATACTTTGAAGACCACATCGTTGCTCTCCTACATGTCCGTTGAGGTCTGCTCCAGTTAGTAGCATTTCTTGTGGTGTTGAGCTGGCGTAGTCATCGAGCTGTGTTTGATGACTATGTCAGTCTTCTGCACAGTCTGTTTGTGGTGCGTATGCAGTTACTGCCTGCACGAAACTTTTTCCCAGTGTCCGACCACGAAAATTTTTTTACAAGGCTAGTCTGGATAGCTGAAAAATTCAAAAAGTTGTTTTGTTATTTACAGGTATAAACAGCTCACCTGAACATTTTTATAACTCGTGTAAGTAACTTTCAAAAATCTCGCGACCGACTCTCGTGCAGCCTCCCTCTCGCTTCGTCACTGCTATTCTGGTACTATTCTTGCTTCAGCTTAACCCCTTGAAGCTTGAAGCCGTCGCCTATCTCCCGTGCCTTTTTTCCTTTTCATTTGTTTCTTGAAGAAGACGATGCTTATGTCGTCCGAGAAGACGTCATCTTACCTTCCAATATCGAGCTGTGAGAGATCCGATAGAGTAAAGCTAGCCGTAATCTTTCCGAGCCCTTGTGCTAGTGCCTTTGATGCTTCTTCAGCCGTCCCTACTCATCTTGATGAGATGGTAACTCTGTCCTACAGTTTGCAATCGTCGGGCCCAAATGCGCGTTACCTCCGGAGAACGCCCTGGCTCCTATTCAGAAATTTGCTTTACCAAAAAGAGTCTTTTGATGGAGGTTTCTTTTTTAGCCGGGCTGTCGCTTGCTTATTTCATGATGAGCAGCCTGAGCTGGAATCGTGTGCAGAGCTTTTCGGAGAAGTCAGATCAGCCGTGGAACCGAACCTGTGCCTTCCTCGCCGTAGTGAACACTAACGTTTTTACTCGCTAATGCAGCCGTAGGGTCCAGCTATCGTATGTCCGAAATTGTCCTCGATGTGAGGGACGTTAACTTTGAACATCAAACCAACATAAGACGCAATAGCTTTCGATGCAAGTTTCTCGTTGCTGCTTGCAGGTGATTTATAGCGTGACCTAGCGATATGTTAACATGCAAATTACGCAAACAAAAAAAAATAACCTCGAGGAATGCTTGGCACGTGAAAAAACACAACGGCGTTGTGTGAGCTCCACATGCAGTATGCATTGTAAGCTATCTTCCAAATGAAACTCATAATTCCTTGCTTTCCATTTTGGGCAAGGAAATGTTTGTAGAAAAAAGATCAAAGAAGTGATGGTTGCTCAAACGTTTTGTAAAGTTCTGGGTATCTTCGTAAAACACAATTTTAGAACTTTCTACAAGAAATCCTCTGCTTGACGACACAATGTACGAGATTCGCGACTTGCAAAAGAGTTCACGTGCAAAGAAAAAGAACAGTCAAGTTACTCCGTCAGTAATATAGGAATACCGCTCATAACTCACCAAAAAACACCGATCTCTGCGGATACACCGAAATTGCCTGGCATCGCTTTATCATTCAGGAATGATATCCATGAAAGTCTCCGCGAAATGGGCTTTTCGTGCGAATAAAATGGGCTTAGTCCATGCCGCCAAGATATCGCATTCGCGAATCCATCCATTCCATACAAAACTTCTTCAGCAAACCTTTCTTCAACTTGCCTCAACCTGTTTACTCACTCTTGCAAATCATTTCCACCAAGTGGTTGATTTCTGACTAAGCTGACCTAATATTACGATGTCAGTAACGTGGATATTATATTACTTGCCACTTCGTTACACTTCACAAAATGCTTCACTATCGATGACTATGCATCTAAATTACTTCCAAAACTAAAATTCAGACGATATCCGGGCCTTCGCTTTTCAAGACTTTATTGAGTCTGCATCAAATCAAATTCGTATGTGGAGCTTTGTGCAGAAAGCAAACTTCGGCTAGACTTGCACTGCCATCTATGAATCAAAATGCTTATCTCATAGGGAACCTTGTACCACACTACAACCCAAGGGGTTTTAAGTCGGAAAGACTACGAATCTGCAAAAGATGACTTCACAAATGTTCTGCTTGAGCTCTTCTTCATCTTTTAACACTAATGTTCAAATATCTAAGTAGTTGAATGTATGAAACTATTGTTAGTAAAAAATTTGTTTCACAGAATTTTTCTTGCTAGCTAGCGGCACTTCAGCAATTCTTGTGACCAAATTCAAAACCGCGTTTGAATTGCCGTCTTTGAGATTTGGTTCTACGAAATTAGTCAAAAGATAGCTTCTGAGTGATTATATACGCAAATTTTATTCCGAGTACAAATCATGAATATAGTTTTGGTTGAAAATTGAAGAGTTAACAAACTTTATTTGATTTACATAAAACTTTTCGCATCGACCTGATATTTGGAAGCATTTGAGTTTGTTAGCAAATATTTTGGTGAATTCAACCTTCTTCCATGATTTTTATAGCGTTTTTAGAAATTTAGAACGAAACACGTATTTCAGACTTCATAAGAGATATAAAATTTTTCCACTCTTTTATTACCTCAAAATAGCCTAAGGAACACATTCTCAGAAAATCGCATTCAAAAATGTGCAAAAAGGTCAAACATGGGATTAGTCCCAGCTCACCTTGCTGCTGGGAGTTGGGTTTTCAAGTCCGTTTAAAATGAAGGTAAATCCCATTTTGCCCCATTCTAAATGGACTTTGCGCATAATTCTTTCGCAAACGAGAGCTCAAGTAGGGTTGAATCATTTTCATTACACCGCTTTGCTTCGTGGTTGCTTTGAGGCCCCGGGCAGACTTCACGCGATTTGATCGTCGCGACTGAATCGCGACGAGACAACTGTTACAACATCGTTCCATGCCGATCAACTTGCATTCGGTTGTGATACTTTTCCAGCCAGAAATTTTTGAATTGAAATGAAAATGAATGGAAATCTTGGCGATTAGATCGCGACGATTAAGTCGTGTGAAGTCTGTCCGGGGCCTGAGATAAAAATTTTTTGGATAACGCTAGCGAAAGCAGATTCCGACTAGTTTCTACCGCGAACGAACAAAATGGGGTGTTCATTTTTCTCCATTATGGACTTCCGTGGATATCATTCCAAAAGAACAAATTCGGAATTTAGGGGCACTGTTCGACTCGTTGAGGCCATCTTTTGATGTACAGATTTTGATGTACCGAGGTGCCCATTTAGATACGACAGATGTATGGTTTTTTGCATACGGCAAGTTGCTCAGTGTTTTTATTCAATGCACACTGAGTCTATCGTGGGCAATAGGAAGGATCGTAAATCTGACCGCCTGCTGTATTCAGTTGGGTATACTTCTGTATATGGGAAAATGCGCCTCGTCGAGCTGTTTCGAACGGTGCCCTTGAATTGAAAAAATTCGTCTACTTTGAGTAGAGATATGGTCATGCTACACGGATTTCAGTAAACTTCGGTGCAGTTCGGTAAATTATTTGACGAATTATGAGCGATATTATGTGCATCTACACTTTGCATATTGAAAAGCTCTTGCAGAGCCGAAGGAGGTAGTCCAGTTGGACAAGTTTTTGAAGCAGGAAGATTTTCAACAGAGGTAAAAGTTAGCTTCTAGTTCTACGAAATAAACGCTCTTCGTAGCACCTGCTGTTCCATTTGAAAATTTACCCTACACCTCGATCGGCAATGAGTCGCAAGGAAATCGCAAAAAGCCCTCCAAAGCGGAAAAATACTTAGCATTGAAAATTAGAAAATCTATTCAGCTTTGTTTTAGAGTGTCGATCAAGCAGAAGAAGACTTTGCACCTCCTAATGCCGAAAATTTCATGGCCAACATCACTGATATCGAATATGTCACACACGATATGGTGCGAAATCTTACAAGCACAACTGACTTTCCTCTTCCGGTCGCTATCGAGGTAAAATCTTTATGAAAATACTTTGTGTTTTTCATAATTGTCACAACTAATACTTCCAGAAGCAGCCGCCTAATTTCTATATGTATCGAGATTTAAAATCTCTGGAAAAGCAACCTATTTTTGGATGGCAGTCATTAGGAGCAAATACTTTTCTATCGAATGTTCTATGTTTACCTAGTGAACAAGAGAAAGACGTGGTGCGTACTGCGGTAGAAAAGTAAGTATTCATTAGGATGATACACTAAAAAGGTCCTGGCATGTTATTTACAGACACAAGAGAGTGACGTTTCTTCCAGTAAGACCAATGCAAGTTTACAGAGACAGAGACATGGATGCACTACATACACGTTCCACACAAACAGCTGTGGACACTTTAAGGTAAATATTCCAGACAGTTTGCGCCAAGGGAAATGACACACCATGTGTTGCACATACACCATACACTATACACCATACATACACCATGTGTTGCACATGGTGTATCACCGTGCGGCACATGGTGTTCGCCAAATTCGACACTTGCTGCACGTGGTGTATCACCGTGCTTTGGACGGGTGCTGCACTTGCTCTATCACCGTGTTTTCGACCCGTTTTGCACATGAGTCAACACTTTGAAAGCTATGCTACACATGGAGCCCCACTGTGCCTTGGCCCCCCCCCCCCCTGCTGTAGGGCTCCTATGAGAACATGGTGTATCACCAAGTTTCCATAGATTTATAAATTGCAAAAGCCGTTTGAATTTCTACCCGTACATTTGCCTTACCCTTGGAAAAGGCATTACCATATGGTTTTCATTGCAGGCATCGTGGTTCTTTTAAGCGTTCATTCAACATTACCAACACCGACCTACTTCGAACCCCATAAAGTTCGTACTTATAATACACAATAATTGAAAACAGCATTCCAAATGCCGCACCTGTACTGAAAAGCTCATGTTTCGAAAAGGTGTGCAGAATCACTCGTGCTACACATGGGGCAGCACGGTGTTTTTTAGCGCTCGCTATTTCAATTCAACAAAATCAATTGGAAGATTTGATAATGTAGTCTTACCTATTCCAAAGTAGCATTTTCCCCGTGGTATCAAATGGTAATGAGATTTTGTTATAGTCGTTCAGTTGTGATTATTATTAAAAAAGGAAAGTTTAGAGTATCATCAAGTTTTAGGCAACCTGCTAGTGAGAAACTAGTGGTGGAATATACGGCACGCTCCGAGTGAAGCAACATTTTACGTTTTCAAAATTCTTATTTCTGTTTATAGTATATCAACAGGTTCAACTGAATTAGCTGGCTTGTGTATGTAATTTTGGGCAGACCCATGCTTGACATTTAAACTATTTGAGCGAATGCGATCACTAAATGACGGACATCTGACATTTGGTGTCGCGTAAAGGAAATAAACGTTGCCTCGATGGAGTTCAGCGGACAATTTTTCTCTTCCGTTTCTTTGAATGCGATGCTTTGATAGCTAGATCCGCTTTAGATTTTTGCTTCGCTCACGCAACACCAAATCTCAAATGCCTGTCGTTTAGCGCGCCGCATTCGCACAGCCTGCTTTGGTTCATTTTACCGGATAAGTATGGCGCTGGCCTTAGGATCGTCGGAAGTCAGAAGTATATGTTAGAGCACAATGATTTACACAAGTAACTTTTGATCATAGAGCTTCATTACATTAATATTAATTATTTTAATACAACTGAGATGATGTCATAATTGTGTTTGCTCCTTTTCTATGTCTGCTACTTTTTCGTTCTGTGTTTCGTCTGCTGGGTGCTGTAAATAAATATTTTGATGAGTAATTATCTTATATATAAAGCTGAATGTCTGTTTGTCTGTCTGTATGTCTGTATGTCTGTATGTCTGTATGTCTGTATGTCTGTCTGTGTGTACGTATGTTCCGAATAGAAAATTCCAATTCTGAACCGATCCGGACCAAACTTGGTACACATACACATCGGGCCCCGGCGGGTGTCAGAGGCTACTTTTCGTCATCGATCGATATCGATTTTATCGATTTTTTGCAAAATTTGAGCTAGGGGGCTGGAACTTGGCAGAGGGGTGTAATCGAGCATGCTGATCACCCCCCAGGGGATGGGGGGGGCCAGCTAGTGCAATATAGAAAGGACTATCAGGCAGCTTATCGACTCACCTTGATAAGGTAGTATACGAAGGATAGATATCCTGTAGTAACAAATCCATAAGATATCAATATACAAATTCCGAATGTTGCAGGGTCAGGTAAGATAATGACCAAGATGTCCTGAAATAGGCCTTTTATGGTGAAATATTTGAGTGTAACATGTCATGATACCTTGAGAAGAGAAAATGTTTGACATAGGGCGTTATGGAGGCCAAATACGGTATTTCTATCGGTCTCTGGTACTCCCTCTTGCATGATATGGATAATGGAAAGGTCAGCCATCCATAGACCTAAAAAATTTGTCTTTTTTAAGCGGTGTTGTAAAATAATTAATGTACTGATATTTTCCGTGTCTCGTTATACTTAGACAGCTAAAATTTTTTCGTGCAATCCAATTTCCGATCACGTACCGAATCTTGCTGAAGCTATTCCAGCTAGGAATGTAATAATGCTATCATATCTCCTTCCTTGGGGGCTGATCGTGCTAGTTTCCGAGTTTGACTGAAGTAACGGTAACGCTCCGGGCCAGAAGTAGTACTAAAATTATCACATTCCAAGCTGTTGACAGGGTGTCCTCAGTAGAGAAGCGAATTATACTCAAAGAATATTTCTAACCTGCATGGGATTTTTGTGAAAATATGCTTTTGGATCGAACGGTGATCCCGGCAACCATATCGAAATAACAGCGGCTATTAAACATAGCTGTTGCAACTAAAAATACATTTTTTTCGTTAGTTTTTCTCTGCGTTTTCTCAGTCATCTCGCTGATATTCTGGGAGAAACTTTTTGCGCACCCTTCAAGGATGCAACGGCAGGGCATATATAGGCGTTGTAAAATCCAGTTGCCCTCGCCTCGCTTTACACAGCAATGTGCGGAGCGGCTAGAGACGTGGGGTCCCGACGCGATATGGGCTATGCAGGCGCTAATGAGCGCGCACCTCCTTCAAACGTATTTTGATAAACTTAAAGAGATACCTTTGATTAAGACGTACTGTATAAGCTTGAAAATAACATGGATGACCGTAGTACTCAGGAGCGAATGAGACTGCTTATAGTGCCTCGCGACAACCGCTCGCTTATGCTAGAGTTTAAGGCACGCGCGGTTAGGTTTTACAGACGTGTAGCTAGCCTGTGGTAACCTGGTTTTTTGGGAGGATTTTGATTTCTCTAATTACTTCGTATGTGTATTCTCAGTCTCATTGTCAGTTTCTTATGCACTCATATGGTTTCCGTGCCACATTGTGTCCAGATCACGCTCGCATTTGAGCGCCTCCGTATCATTGGTTTTCTGTTTCATTTGGGGCTTCAGTCTTATTTATGCATAACCGATAAACGGTCGCTTTTCAGCAGTGTTCAAGTATGAAACAGAAATGATAGTATCGCAGATGATACCGCGTTCTAGGGTATCATCTGCGATACTCAAAGAAAAATGGGAAGCTAAGCATGAGTACCCGGGCTTGATTATCGGGTTCTTAACTTTCAATGCTCAAATTCTTGTTGAGTACCTCAAGCTCCGCTTTCGGGTTCGAAAAGGAGCGATGGTAATATTTTGTACTCGAAAGAAGTTCTTTGTTCTTTGAAGATCCACTTACTTTGTGGTTAATCTCTACTATTTGCCAGCTAAGCTTAAACATAGACAGTTTTTGAAAGAAACACTGGAATACTTACCGTAAGTCCAAGTAAACCAGTGCTTCGCACACCAAAACGACGCTCGAAACACGCGTATGACATGGCTCCCAAGATACCCATGACTGACCCGTATGACCTAAAATTACATTGTCGTCAACTCCGTCGTTATAACTTCGTTTTATATACCTGAATGCACCCACTACAGCATCAGACAACCCAGATGACTCCCCGTATCCGACTGCTAGCTATAAAAATTATTTTTTGGAGTGTTATTGTATATTGGGAAAATGGACTTCGTACACCGTCGAATCCCATGACGGTCATAAATAACAACGCCATGCCGAAGGCTGCGGCAACAACTGTCTGACGCGTGTACGTCAGTAATATATCAGGAATGTCTTTTAAGGCATTAAGAATCTTTTGCGGTAGAGATGCTGGTGTTTTCTCATCTGGAAATAAAAATAAGACCTTTACGAATCGCAAAAAAATAGGTAGAGACGGACCATTGTTATTGTTTCCTGCATTCTCCTTATTCTGCTTGTTCGCCAGTTCTGGATGTCTCATATATAAGGCACGAAGGAAGAAAGCCTTTGACAGCATAGAGACTAAACTAAGTCCACCAAAGATTGCACATGTGACTCGAAGACTGAAGACAGTAACAAATACCTAAATAAATTCAGTTGTGGTGAGCTGCAGATGACTAATGTTTCGTAAGTGTTGCATGGGAAAAGTGAAAAATGTTTTAGCATTGTTCAGGAAACGTTGCTAATACTTCTATTATTTTACAGATCGTAGTCGCTTGCCTATAAATTCCGTGAAATAGCATGTTTTATCTGATAAGTGCTCGAAAATGTTAGTAAATCAAACAATTCATTCATTAACAAACGAGTACTTCACTCTTGCTTGTTCATGGGAGATGATTGGTTGAAGGATGATAAGACTTCATTTTTCTAGACATAAGTAAACGAATTATAGGTCAATGGAAGTGCCTAGTGAATCGCTTCGAAAAATAGCCTATGTGTTCTCCACCGCGGTCGAATACATAAGTGTGCAAAATTTCAGTTTAATCGGTTCACGGCCGGCGTTTCTATAACGAACTAACAACTTAGTGAACATCCTTACAGATTTTGAGTTTTATTTGTATATAGATTGAAGGAAATTCTATTGGACTAAAGCATACTTAGCAGGCGGATTATATTAGTTCGTTCCGAAAGTAATGCCGCTTTTTTCAAATGGATGCCACATCTCGTGGAATCGAGATTTCCAAGAGATCTTGGAAACGCTTAATGCAGTAATTCATCCTCTTTCTAGTGGTTATAATTGCATAATATTCTATGAACTCTTGAAAAATTATCAAAATCTACGACATGCCTTTTGCCACAGTCAAATTCGATTATTTTTTTAAATTCTTGTACTAAATCCCCCAAGAAGTTCAAGTAATGGCCAGATAGAGCAAACTCTATAGGATACAAAGCAGTTTTTTTCCTTACCTTAGCTCGCCTTTCAGAATTTCTAAAACCTTTTCTCTAATGCTACTAAATTCCATTGTCAACTAAAACCACACAAAACAGTAACCGGCGAGCAGCTCGGGTGTCATTCAACGCAGCTTTTTTTCCTCTTTCTGCAAGTTGTTTTTTGATTCTATTTCATAGAGTATTCCGGGATAAAATCATCATAATTCAGATTTTCCAAGGCCCCCCACGCTATACCCGGAATTTTCGAAAGTTGTTAATCTGAAGCGGCAAATGCTCATTTGCTTTGTAAAAAATAGCGTCAAACCATAATCCACCTTTGTAAGCTTTGTAAGTTTCAAAATACGAAGATTTATTGGTGTCTGATGCATTTACGTCTGCGACGAGCCTGCTAAAATTCGGTGGTTCCAATAAAAAATCTATACAAAAATTATGGCGAGCTATGGAAAATAGGAAAAAATAATGATGCTGTTTCCTGTAGGGTTTTCTCTATCCATGCGTTGCTTGAACTCCTTCCGGGGATTGTTAGAAAAATTCAGAAAAATTCTGAAATTCAATCTTCTCAAAAAGCGTGGGTCGCAGATTTTGGTGATTTTTCGGAAGCACATTGAATACTATGCAATGAAATTAGAACCGTTAGAAAGAAAATGAAATGCTGCAACAAATGCTACGAAGCTCTTTTCTAAATTTTTGTTCCACGAGATGTAACTTACCTTTGAAAAAAAAAGACGATACTTTCGGAACGGCCTAATATAAAAAGCCCACTTTTCTAAGACAGATTCTTTTCATCATAACTGTTTAACGAAATGGTAGAAAATTTTGAGCTAAGAATAAGCTGATTATGTGTACGAGTAGCAAGGACCGAACATAGAACTGGGTTTTTTTATTATTGAGAATTCTTCAAGTACAACTTAGATTCACGGCAAGATATAAGCATCGTTTGTGCTGGAGATCAATTCTATTGTGATAATTTTCGTAAAGAAATTTGCAATCAAACTTTTGCGTTTTACAATTTTCCCCTACGAGTTTACAGTACTAGAAACAAGGAAGTTATGTGACGATTGCAATGAAAAATAAAAACTGTCCAAGACGATAAAAAATAAAGATGTATGGTTTTGATAATAGATTCGATACCAAAATGAATGCTTACAAGCTATACGATACACGTCCATAACAGACGAAATCATAGAAAAAAATGTTATAATCACCCCGGTAACGATAGGAGAAATAACGTTTGCGAGCTGATCCAATGAAGTCAACGTAGCATTTAAACCTAAAAAGGTATTTTTAATTCTGCAATGGGAATATGTAGATGTACCTGAGAGAGTTTCGCCACTGCTAATCACAACTACCCAATCCCTGGATACAAGAAATTTCTCTGCATTGAGAAATAGCCGATTTATAGCACACATAAGTATACCCAAGCCAAGAACGACTCCAAATAATACAGAGTCTTTTTGTACAGATAAACAAACTGAAAATGCTTATATTTGCTTTGCCACCTAGGACTCAAGACATGGTGAAAGCAACGCCAGCAAACTTACTTATAAACATAGCTGCACTTAGTACAATAGTGACATTATTTACAGGAATAACCGACATAATTGCTGAAAATGTAATTATGTGGAAAGTTTTTACTTAGGAACTTGATATATGTCTGATAAACTGAATTTACTGTAGGATTAAGATTCTTACCAACTTTTCTAGTAACTCGATCAAATACCCGTCCCAAATGGCCGCTCAAAAACATCTGCCCGATACTTTCAGCAAATTGTTCAATCGAAACCAATCTCATTCCACCGAGGTGCTGCATACATAGAGATATGCAAAACGACCATGCTCGATCTTCCTAGAATGAAAAACATTAGCTTTTCGCAAAGGATCTTTTACAACGCACAAATTTCAAAATTTGGCAAAACCGAACTCGCAGCTTTGGCAACCTAGCAAAAGACAGAAAATTGAGCTTAGATAGTAAACACAAAAAGCTCTATATGATTGCTTGGTAGTTTAAAAATTCTTTGCGACAATTTTTTTTGAGATGCGACAAATTGTTTCTCCATGGAATATTCAGTACGCACAAGGCGTGCCACCTTTGGATAAGGTTCAATAACCGCGTTTTTCGATAGAGAAATGTAAAGTTGTTATCCAAAGTTTTGTGTACACAGCCACGGAATTTTGAGAAAAGTAGGTGTGGCGGCAATGCCCCAGAAGAAATTGCTTACAATGAGATTTTTTCAGAATCTCAGTTATTTGCAAGTAGGAAGCAAGTAGTCATTATAGCGTTACTTATCTACAGTTCATCTACCTGGTCCATTTCCTTGAAAGTTTTCGTGGAATTTTGGGTTCAAACATCTATAAAATCCGTGGTTGTTGGATATAAACGTGCGCCACGATGTGTGGCAAGTTTGCTGGAAATGGTGCGTAAATTTTGAAAGTGGTCCGCGTTAGTATATCTATGGACCCGCCGTTTTTGAAAAACCTATATTTCTTCTACTCTCAGAGGTTCTGTTGATGCATATCTGCACTGCAGAGGGTTATTCGCATTTCGAGAGACACTGCTCGATTGTATTAGGTTACCCCGAAAGTTATCGGTTTATTTCATCGCTCACTAAAACTCACAGAACACCAATCCATAAACGGCTTAGGCACCGTTTGATTCAGATTTTTATTTTCTTTCTCACAGTTATACTTGCTTTCTGATCTACCCTGTCTTTGCAATGTTATCGCCATGGCTTTTTGAGCAGGTTTTTACGGTAACGCCAAATATTTCTTGAATTTTAGAATTTTTTATTCTAATGTTTCATAGAGCGATGGTAACTATTATGTAGAGCAAACCTTTGGCTACACTGAACCTATTTTAGATTACACGAACCGCGGTTACCAAGTCCGTTATAATTATTCATTCAATAAAAACCACAGCTTTTTGGTTAAGTTCAACACGTAAAAGTACCAAAAATTCCAAAAAGCTGCTTTTTCGAAGCGAATCAAAGTTGATTATGTTGCATAAATAATGTTTAAGAATTAGTTTCAATACGCAGAAACTTCAAAAGCTTTCATGTGTTTTATGCAGTTGCGTCTTTCATGACTTTGCCAAAAATCTCCTACCTCCGGGGAAATAATTTTTTGAAGTTAAAATCAGCAGATTAGGAGAATCTAACAAAACCATTCTGTAGACCGAGAGTTGCTCTATCTGATCCATAGTTAATCCTTTTCGATATTATGTAATGAAATTTTTAAAAGTTAGCCTAACTTTGAGCAGGTAAAATTGACAGGTGGAGAATTTCGGCAATTATCAAAAAAAGCATACAAGATTTTGGTACGAAAATGTATCCGTAAGAAAGAAAAGGAAAAGCTGCATCTAATGCATGTTAAACTCACTCAGATCTTTATTGTGCGTGGTTTTATAGTGGTTTGAAAAAACGGACAAAACTTTTGGGACACCCTATTAAAATGATGAAAAATTATCTTTGACCTCTTCACTTTACTCAACTTTCTGGATTTTGTCAGAGCTTATTAGAGACAAATATTACAAGTGTTTTTTTTTTGGAAAATCTAATCAATTCCCCTTTCTGACAAAATAAGGCGTTTTCGGAACTCCGTTTTAAGCGAGAGTTCTGCATGAGCTAAGATAGCTCCAATACAAAGTATACGATCCCTTTGACCGCTGTGTAACAGGGAGAGTCTGGAAACCTACCAAACAAGTGGAAATATATGCAGCGTAGAGAAGTAAATTCGATTTCGATCCTATTGCCGACCAACGCATTCGCGATAGCAGCGCCTCCTCGTTATCACGTAGATGGTGCTGAAAGTGTCGTAAATTTAAGCGTTGACGCATTTTTTGCTTGGTAAATGTATGTAAATCACGTAGAGATAACGGCGGATATATTTGCTTTCTCCTTTGAGCGTTACCACTTATTAGCACACCCGTTTAAGTGCTGGAAGTTTTTGCGTGATTACAATTATGAACAGTCCATTAAAGTTTTTCTCATCATGTGGCGCAAGTTACTATCACCTTGACCGGCCTAAACACCATTTGCAGGCATGTATTGATATTAACGATAACATTTGATGAGGAACTCTGCACCACTTTTCTTAACAAAAAATCAATAATTGCAAAAATAAAACTAAGTCGAGTAGCAGCGTTTTATTCTGGTCACCCAAATTTCTTCTATGTTAGCAACAGGGGCTAAAGGGTGCTCTCGAACTTCGTTTTTTGGCTTGCAAAAAAGAAAAAAATTCTTGTTTTCGGAGAATCCAATCAAGTGTGAGGAGAAGAATAAGACTGATCTTGAGCGGTGAGAAAGCCTTAGGAAAAGGATGTCACGTATGCTAATCAAAGTTTTCTCGTTGCAACGACTTACACGAGCTACCCAAATATGTGTTCGAGAAGCGCGCACGATAGATTTGTAGAAATCTGACAAATCGCCAAGTCGCGTGAAAGAGGCGATTCGGTGAAATCGCGTGAGGTATGCCTTAGGCCTTAGATCTCGGAGAGAGTCACGTGATTTGATTGTGATTCAATCGCTACAAGACAAATATTACGCGTTCATTGCATGCCGATCTTCTTGCATTTCGATTGTGGTATTCCAACACGACTAATCGTGACAAACTATCACAATCAAAATACAAGAAGATCGGCATGCAATGAACTCGTAATACTTGTCTAGTAGCGATTGAATCGCGGTGATCGAATTGCGTAAATTCTGTCCGAGGCCTAAGTGGATGAGGGGAGGAAACATGAGAAGTCCAAGGGCCGCATGCACTAACACCTCCGCGGGGATGGGATCGCAGCTTAAAGGAAAGCTTCATATTCTGAAGCTCCAGATATCTGGATTTCACGTTATGTACCTATCCGTAAGCATTCTTACTACCCTTCACTATGAACATATTGAACAGGAGCGAGAAGCTGTACGAACCGCGTTTTCCAGCTTTTGTATGATCCCTGATGATTCCCAGCGCTTTTCTTTAAAGTCATTTTTCTTTCTCCGAAATTAAAGAAAAACCTCCAAAGTTGTGCAGATTGTCTAACAGACAGTCAGACATCCCCTCCCCGCGGGGATGTTAGTGCATGCGGCCCCAAGAGTGTAAGTCCAATGAGCTTGAAAGAGGCGTACTATACAATGAATTTTACATTCGCATGACACAATGTGGGTTCTACGTTCGAATACATGTCCACTGAAATGCTGTACTTGAATTTATGCCACGTTTTTTGCTCTCTTCGTAAGAATAAAGGATACCGGGTTGCGCTGAAGTTTGGCAGGAAGATGTGCACCATTATTGTTTCTGTAAGACACTGATAACATATCCGCAAATCTGCGAAACGGTTCTGTTAAGAAGTTACGGACACTGGTCTAAGAGGCTTTCCCTTTGTATAGGCGACTATAACGTGCATTACTACTGCGGCAGAGAAAGTTCGAAATCCACTCATGACGAAAACTGCTGGTAATCGCTGTTCTAGATGATTTCCAGGTGAAATAGAAAAATTTGCAAACAGCGCAAAGGCGATGCGTTCCCACTGGGTTTGAACCCGTTACTTTATAAGTGGAAGCCAAATGCTCTCCCACTGCACTATCATCATTTCTATCAGTGAAGCATCACCATACAAATCGTCTGTAGATAGGGGAAAACCTGTGATTGGGTGTCCATTACTTCTTTAACAAAACCGTCTTGCAGATTTAGAAATCAGGGCCGGTAGTAATCTACTCTCCCTGGTGGCATCATAGATGCCGCCAACTTGGCACACATCACGGAAAGTTGCCAACTCTGGCGGCAGCTCGCGGATTGATCTAATAATCTTAAAAAGTTTCACTCCGTAGTCCTACGCACATGAAATTTTGATGCCGCTGATAGCCAAAACAGCGACATCGCGCAAGTTTGAACCTGCGTGCGTCAACTTCAAGCGCCGCCGCACTAACCATTCGGCCACTCGTTCAACTTCTGCTGTTTGTGGCAGCAAATATAGAAACGCTGCCTATATAGTGAGCGCCTAGTGAGCATGATCAATATAATGCGCGAAGGAGGCTGACTTGAAAAAACAGCTGATCGATAAGAGCGAGCAAGAGACGAAACCGTTGCAAATGAGAATTAGAGCAATTGCAAAATGAAAATGGCGTTCTTTATGGTATTATAATATCAGTAGTCGTTTCTTGTGCATAGTATTATCAATTTAGAGGAGAAAAACCCATATAATGGCAAAAATGATAGTTTTTCGATGGAAAATAAATTTTTTGGTTTTTTTGCTGGACGTAAATTGTGTGATATTGCCGCGCGACGCAAACTCACAGACGCCGCCAGCAAGGTGCCACCACCTCGACATGGTAGGGGCACGTCGGGATGGTGGCACCTTGATCTCTCAAAAGAGCACGCTATTTTTCGTACTCTCTGACCTGGCGGCATCTCTCAGCGCTGAAATTTCGACGAGATGCCGCCAGGTAAATTCGCGAAGTTGCCGTCAGCACTTTTCGCCTACCTCAACAACTTTGTTTAGGGGGGTTCTTAAAATCTCCAATTGTCAAGGTTCTCTAAGGTCACAATGACCTCCTCGACCAGAAATACGTAGTGAAAAGGGTTAGGAGGGCACAAATTCGAGTTCGGTGTTCACGCCGATCTCACGTAAAGTTGACGGCAACTTGACGGCGAAACATGCCGCCAGGTCAGGGAGATTACTACCGGCCCAGATGTGTTACCGGTGTCTCCAAAGCTCCTTAACGATGTACATCTGTTTGCTAAAGCCCAGTGCGACTCGGTATCATTCCCTTGTTAGTGAAAGTGAAGCTTACAACCGCTCTTTGTGCAATCACTTGTGAATATAGACTTTTTTCTCTGCGTTTTGTGCAGATTTTTTGTACTTTTCAAGAATTCTGCTTCCAGAAAAATCCGCTGGCTTTGTGAACGACACTTTCATGTTGTAAATGAGATCTATAGAGGAGAGCTCACAAGTTAGAAGTCTACAAATTTTGATCGACGAGGTCAGCTCTATTGTGAACAAGTATTTCGTAAAACCCTAGTTTATATTAAGTGCATGTATACTGTTTATGGAAAATCCTCATTTCAACGCAAGGTTAGGAAAGATGATAAAGAGAAGATCAAAATGTTCATCGCATTACAACAATTTAAAATCAATGATGTAAATGATACGTGAGATTTTGATACATTTGTAAACAACATTTGTTTTGTAGAACTAGTGAGCAAAAAGGTTTGGATAATCCTTGTTTGCATAATCCTGTTTGCATCGTTAACAAGCGAGCAACACCGCATAGCAAAATATATCAGACAATGAGGTAAAGCCAACTGTTTTCAGCTCAACTTTTTATAATGATGATGATGTCACGCTTATACAGGGGTCCAAAAATTGCCCCTGCTGTTTAAACGTCAATGACTTTTTTGCTCCTTTGTCTTTCACCAAAGTTATGAATTAAGCCGGCCTCAACCTAACTGTACAATATGGAGCGACTTATCGATTTCCCTTTATCACTGTAGAATTACTTAGGAACTTTACCTCTAACCGTTACATTTTACCTTGACAAGAAAGCCAACCAGCTGATATACGAAGTTCGCATTTTCACAGTAATGCTTTTCTCAGGTCATTTCGCATATACCGTAGCAGGCCTTATTTATGTTACGCAAAAATGCGATTACACCATTTGAGAGCACAAAGTTGAAAAGGACTGCATAAGCATGCCCTAAGACTCTGATTACACAACGTTCAATGATTTTTTTGGATATCTTTTGGCCTGTCTCAGAATGGCTTCTGTTATAAGTTCTCTCGATAGAGAGAAGCAAGCTCTACAGAAAGGCCGCCAAAGACCCGCCTAAGTCGTAATCCAGGTGAAATTTGGAGCCAAAATCGAAAAGAACTCTATTACGCGGAGGTAGGTAGTAAGTATCACGTTGTAATATTACCTCTGTATGACCAAAACGCACAAGTGCAAAAATAACAGAGAAAAACTTAATCGTTTCACAGCAGTCAGAAATCTAGATAATGTTAAGAAAAATCGAAACCATTTTTGGCTTTATGGAGGTTAATTATGCCAGAGTTCAATCTAACTTATTTTGCTTATCGTTATTGTATGCAAAGTTTTCTGGTAGAAATGTGAACTCTGAGCATAGGAAGATGCTAAAAAAGGGTTTAACGCTGCATAAACTTTTTGACAAGAAGCCAGAAGCCGTAGTCAGCAAGCGGAAAAAATGTACACAGTATTGAAAAACTCCTAACTAAAAACAAGTCTAAAATGGCTAAGACAGTCACATTACTATCGCTAATCAATCTTATGCGAGCGTGTTATTGAGTTGTGAAAATATCGAAAATCGCAAAGACTTTTTTACGCAGCTGAGACCTTCATCATTTCGTATTATTATTATTATTATCAATTAGATAGCAACTGGTAACAATAGGTTTAAAATGAACTGCCCCTTAGTTGAATTACGTAGGGTGTCCCAAAAGTAAGTACACAGGCATGCTGATTTTATGTAGACAACTTTTACGAGTTTTTTAAGCGTTTCAAATGATTCATCCCATTCAAAAAAAGGGTAGAAAAACGTCATTGCGATCTACCCGGCAGAACTTACAGAAAAAGACTTACGGTAAGTGCGAATCCCATACTCGTAATCAGCGGCTTAGGCCAGCCTAATAATAAAGTTTTCGGCTCGTTGAGTTTTTAACTTGAGGTAGTATGTAGCCATTGACGTCTCGAAACCCTCTTCAGAGGAAGAGCGATGGGTGATTCGGTTTATACTGTAACCAGTCCAAAGCGCCGCTTCGCGGCGCTTTGGACTGGCTGTGTGTGTGAAGTGGGAATGTGACTGAAAGTTAGAACCTCTGAGGATTTGTAGCAA